GTGTGGGTGGAATAGTCATCGGATCAAGGCTGACTAGTTCTGGTGGCCTACAGCAGAGTGTGTGCTGTCATCATTCTCACGTGTATATCGCTGTGCAGCTATGTGTGCGTGAGCCATAGGGACCCCTCTAAGGAGCGTGCTGAAAGGCATCCAAGCCTCTCCTTGATTTATGTCCCCTAGGACATCATAAAATTACATGTAAAAATATTACTTCCCACCCATACTGCAGCTACAATATTTAAAACCAAACTTTGGTCACAAGGGACAATAAAACTAAATTCCAGTCAAAAATAAAAGCATGTATTTACGGGATTAAGGGACACAGCCCAGTTATCGTGTGGTTCTACTATTCATCCTGCTAATGCAACCCAGCAATCACTGGCACTGTGCTGAAGTAATAAAGTTCACTCCAGCAAAAGAATATTTTCAAACTACGATGGAAGAAAGATATCCCAACATAGCATGGTCAATTGATGGACCTCAATATACCTCTCTACATTAACAAAAAAGAAAAAAACAGGCAGTGGAAGTATTCACACGGTGTAACCCCTTCTAATCTTGAATGCAGGATGAAATTTAGTACTCCATACAGCACATACAACACATATAGGGGAGATTTGAAATTGGGTATAAGATGGCAAACTATATTTATATTAAACAAAAAAAACCTGTGCTTACTGCAAAAATTCAATAATAAATCGCAATATATTATGTGCTTACAGCAGCACTCAACAACACTAGAATGCAACCACATACTGTAAATCTCATTCAACAATATTGTTGTGGTATACCTTTATATCCTCAAATAAATTGAAAATGGAAAATGTGAATATCAAATAAAGGTTCACAATATTTTCTCTCCCACATGCCACTTCCCCTGACCTCTGTCAAGATCAATAGAGCAACTACTGTATCAACCTGTCCCCGCATACCAAGGTACTAGTTGTAATCGTGACCCCACATACAATCAGTGTCCAAAGCTTACCGCCTCAACCTCCACAACATCTCCAATATACGCCCCTTCCTAACCAATGACAGCACAAAGCTAACTCACTCTCTAGTCATCTCTTGTCTAGACTACCGCAACTCCCTCCTTATTGGATTACCTCTATAGAGGCTATACCCCCTTCAGTCCATCATGAATGCTGCTCCTAGACTCATTCACCTTACCAGCTGCTCAGTGTCTGCTACCCCTCTCTGCCAATCCCTTTATTGGCTGCCACTCACCCAGCAAATTAAATTCAAAATACTAACAATAACTTCCAAAGCTTTCCACAAGTCTACCCCAGCTATATCTGTAACCTAATATCAAAATACCAACCAAATCATTCTCTTCCTTCCTCCTAAGACCCCCTGCTCTCAAGCTCCCTTGTCACCTCCTCCCATGCTCATCTCCAGGACTTTTCCTAAGTCTCTTCCACCCTATGGAATTGACTATCCCAATCTGTCTGGCTATCTCCTACTCTGTCCACTTTTAGGCAATCCCTGAAACCGCTTCTCTTCAGAGAAGCCTATGCCTCCACCTAACACCTGTATTTCCACTTTCTACATCAGCTCATTCCCCACAATTATGACCTTTTGTATCACTTGACCCTCTCTTTTAGATTGTAAGCTCTACCAAACAGGGCCCTCTGATTCCTCCTGTATTGCATTGTATTGTACTTGTACTGTCTGCCCTCATTTTGTAAAGCACTTCGCAAACTGTCAGTGCTATAAATCCTGTATTATAATAAGAAAAAATATGAAAATAAAATAATGTGTCAACACCTCCTGTAAAAGTATTTCTCTATACTCCCAAAAATTCCATCCAAGTGGTTAATTAACTCAAGGTATCCCAGTGACTTCCACCACCATTACAACACACAGCCACTTACCAATAAGAGAGACCTCAAATTATAGTTGATCTCAGTACACTCTGAAATACGTGGGATCTGCTGCAGAAAATGCATCCAAATGCATCCATTGGGAACATCCAATGGGACGAAATGCATCAAGGTGGATCCTGTGCTGACATCATCATGCTGTGCAGTTTCTGATACACCTTTCATGCAGACTAGATTGTGAGTAGATATGCAGTATATTGACCATTAAAACAAGCTGTTTTGCACCATGGAAGGTTGTTATTTGTTATCTCTTGCTGGAGAGAGGAAGCGAGAGAGAGGTGATTCAACTGATATTTTCTGTTGGTGTGCCCTTTGGTTCCCGTGTCTTTGAATGCATTTGCAAGCCTGATCTCCCATATTCATTTATCTATTTAATATTTATTACAGGTACTTATATAGATCAGTCTATTTACGCAGCGCTTTACATATATATCATCACATATCGACCTCAATGGTGGTCAACTCTGAACAATTGGGGCAGCACAGTGGCTAAATGGTTAGCATTTCCGCCTGGCAGCACTAGGTTCGAATCCCAGCCACGGCACCACCTGCTTGGAATTTGCATGTTCTCCCTGTGCCTGCATAGGTTTCCTCCAACACTCCAAAGACATGCTAGTAAGTTAATTGGATCCTGTCTAAATTGGCCCTAGTATGTGTATGTATGAATGTAACTTAGGGACCTTAGATTGTACACCCCTTGAGGGTTAGGGACTGATGTGAATGTACGATATATATGTAAAGCGCTGTGTAAATTGACGGCGCTATATAAGTACCTGAAATAAATAAATAAATGTGGAGTTGTGGCACCAGTCAAGTTAGAAACAATATGTCCTTACATGAAAACCAACTGCACATATTCAGTGGTGTATTCAGTTCTTGTGCTGCCCTAGGCAACACAAGAATCGAGTAACCCCCCTCCCTTTCCCCCCAGGCGCCACCACCATCCACAAAAAAATGTTGCCCCCCCCCCCAATGAGAACAAGAGAGTTCAATAAGTGTGTGTATGTATATATGATTCTTTCTCTCCCTCTCTTTCTCTTCTCTCCCTCTCCTCTCTTTCTCTCTCCCCTCTCTCTCTTCCCTCCCTCTCTCTTCTTTCCCTCCGCCCCCCTCTCTCTCTCTTCCCTTTATCTCTCTTCCCTCTCACTCCCCCCCCCCTCTCTCTCTCTCCCTTCTCACTCTCTCTCTTCCCTTTCCCTCTCTTCCCTTTCCTCTCTCTCCCCTCTCCCCCTCTCTCTCCTCCCCCCTCTCTCTTTACCCTTTTCCCTATCTTTCTCTATCTTCCCCCCTCTCGCTTTCTACCCTCTCTCTTCACTCTACATTCCCCCTCTCTCTTTCTTCCCCCTCTCTCTCTCTCGCTCTCTCCCTCTCTCTCTCTCTTTACTCTCTCTCTTTCTTCCCTCTCTCCCCCCTCTCTCTCCCCCATCTCTCTTCCCTCTCTCTCTCCCTCATCTCTCTCTTCCCCCTCTCTATCGCCCTCTCTCTTTACCCTATATTCCCTCTCTCTCTCTCACTTCCCTCTCTTCTCTCTCTCTCTTCCCCCCTCTCCTCTCTCTCCCCCCTCTCTCCTATCTCTCTTTCCTCTCTCTCTCTTCCCTCTCTTCTCTCTCTCTCCCCTCTCTCTCTCTCTCTCCCTCGCTCTCTATCTCTTTCATTCCCCCCTCTCTCTGTCTTCCCTCTTTCTCCTCCCTCTCTCTCTTCCCTCTCTCCACACCCCCCTCTCCCTTCTCTACTCTCTCTCTCTCTCTCTCTTTTATCCCTCCCCCTCTCTCTCTCTCTCTCTTCTCCCCCCCCCCTTCCCTCTCTCCCCCACCTCTTCCTTCTCTCTCTCTCTTCCTTCTCTCTCTCTTCTCTTCTATTCCCTCTCTCTCTCTTCCTCCTCTCTCTCTTCTAATCTGTCAGATCATATGGTACTGTACACATACAGTACGATTAACCCCCCACCACCACCTCCTCCAAGAGCTGCTGATCTCCGGGCAGTAGAAATGTGGGCAGGGGGTGGTAATCATACTGTGTGTGTGCAGTCCCATATGATCTGTCAGTGATTGTGTATCATGTGCTGGATGGAAGACAGGAGGGAGAGCCCAGAGAACACAACACAGCTCACCTACTCTGGGCTCTTTCCTCTCTGCCACTTCTCCTCTCCCTGCTCCAAGCATTCCCCTGGTCCTGACTCTGCCTGCAGGCGGGGGATGGAGCTCAGCAGAAAGTGGCCACTCAGGAACACCAGGACACCCCCACCATCCGGCCAGGTCCGTCTCTCCCTCCAGCAGCAGAAAGCCGTCAGGAGGGAGAGGGGTGGAAACCTCAAACCGGCTTTCAGCTGCTGGAGGGAGAGATACACAGTGCATCTTTCTGCAACTGCTCTCCCCACCACACCTATCCTCCTGCTGTCCAGGAGACCTACAGGAGTACCAGTGGTACCCCTCAGATGGCAGCCCTGCATGGCTCTGTCCGCCGCTGCTCAACAGGTCCCTTCTTCCATGGGACAATGTCGCCCCCTAAAAATTGCCGCCCTAGGTACACCCCTGCACATATTGCTGAAGCCTTTAACAAGTATCTGACACCAAAACATTTTGTTTATTTTGGAGTAGGAAATGGTTAAATCCACTGTCTGGTTCTTTTTCCATCTGTGTCCCTTTGCGAAGATTTTCAATTTCTGTACTGCACTGTTGTTCTGATGACAACTCAGAGTTTATCATTTTCTTCAGTTTTAGTTGTATGTCAAACAAGAAATTTTAATTTCCATGTCGGGGCACAGACAGCAAACATAACCTCATCGCTTTACTCAAAACTAAAAAAACAACAACTGGATCTTTCATCTTAGCTGTTCATTATCCAAGGAGATAGCTGACAGCCCCCAAGGTCTGGGGCCCAATTTTCAAGTACCTTTTAGATGATAAAAGTAGAAGGCTGATTGACTGAAATGTTTTGCTGTACATACTCAATTCACACGCAACTGTCATGTGCTGCTTTTTTCACATCTTATCTTTTGTTTTTGTATGATTTATTTCAGCATGGCATTCCACGTTCTTTCCAATATTACCTCTTACCAATTACTGAGAAAACTATTGCCAAAGTTCAAAAGTACTCACTTTTTTTATGACCTATGTTTTCTTTTAACAGTTCTTTGCCCTATGCTGTGCCAGAATGGTGGTATATGTATAAAGAAGGACCAGTGTTTGTGCCCACCAAACTTCACAGGAAGCTTTTGCCAAATTCCGGTACCCCAAGGGAATGGGATAGCTGCGTTTTCCATAAGGAACAGCAGCGAAGGGCAGAATTCCAGAACTAAATCTGTGTACACTTTGCCTTTATCCAACCATCAGCCAGAAAAAGACGGTAAAGTATATTTCTTTAAATGTAGAGACTGAGAGTATTTCCACCACTGCCATCTGGCACTTTGTTTTGTTGATCTTTAAACAGTGTGCTGACTTTTCTAACCAGCGAGCATTTTGTTGGGTGGACATCAGAAGTATTACCCTGCTACAGATATAAAAAAGCCATGAAAAGTTCAAGGAGAGGTCCAAAAGTTTGACTAATTTTAGCTTTCCCAGTTACACTCTTGATTTCAATGTTATTGTTTTTTGTAGCCAAACTGGGCAATTAACAAAACACCTCCTGTTCAAGGGGACACGATATAGAGCTGAAAGTGGTGGCAAACCTAATTTGACACCAACATTTTTGAAAATAATAGAAATGCACATAGCCTGCAATCTGATTGCAAAAACCATTAAACAGCTAAGGGGTGACTTGGGGATCCCAATTCCATATTCCCATTGCTTTAAAGAGAGCATTTTGGTGGCCAAAATGAAAAAAATGGATGGTGAAAGAAGCCCTTAAATTTCAAACCAGCAAAACAGCATCATCGACAGGATTTAAATATGCTTCATGACCTCCAAATCAAAAGCCAACCATGTGGGTTTCTTGTATGGTGGAAATTAAATTGAAATTATATAAAATAATACCTTTGTCCACCCAACTTACTTGCCCCTCTGATGAAAACTGCATTCAGATAAAGTGCCCTTGGCTGAAGACGAAGGTTTTTTCTCATTGTTCAGTCTACCTGCGTGTTTATTTGGTGCAGCAGCAGTCCCCATGCAGGCCATCTCTCAGTGTCTCTTGCATGTGTGTAGTATGACCATATAGATAGTTGTAAATGGTCAAATCTTATGTATGATGAAAAAAATATAGTGAAGCACTCCCCAAATAGAAATTTACAGTAAAATATCACAACCAATGTGTAATAGATGTATATACAAAGCAACAAGAAAATATATATATACATGTATCACTACATAAACTCACTCAATAAATAAAAAAATGATCAAAAAATGCTTGACTGATAAAATGTAAATAATGCATAATAATAGCACATGTGCATATACAATACTTCAAATAGTGCAAATAAGTGTTCAAACAAGAGGCACATGTATAATAATATACTTTATGTCCAATCCAAGTCTAATTATCTCCTTGAGAAAATCCAGAAAAAAGTTCCAACTAATTATATGTTCATAGCATATAGTACACAATCTTCACCGTGATTCTTTATTTCATCCAATGTGAGATAAAACACCACCAAATTGCACAAGTGGGTATGACCTCACCTTCATTCAGAGCTGGACACCACTATAAACACAGGAGGTCAAAAAGCGCTTTAAATCTCTCCCTCTTATCTGATTCAAAACTTTTTCTACAAGGTTAAAGAGTTTTTCTCACTGAAGCACTCATGGGATAGAAACATAAGAAATCTCCATAGTGTAAAACTGTAGTATTTATTGGTAAAAAGAAAAAACAAATGCACTTATAGGCTGCTTCTTTAAAATAATATCAGTATAGCAGCAATCAGCCCCAAGAACAAGCCAGTGAACAGGAATCCAAGAAGACACCCAAGATCCGCCCAGCATGATGTCGTCACTTACCTCCTCCACCCGCGCTAGTTGCGTCCATACCGAACTTTCTCAAAGTCAAATCTTATGTATGCACCAAGTGCATAAATGCATAGCAGGTCAGACCATTGGTAGAAGTTCTTGTCTTCATCTAGGGTTTCTTTATCAAAATACAATTTTTAATACAGGATGATGATGAGGGGGTAGGAGGAATTTTTATCATTTCAGTTTCCAAAAATTGGCACTATGCATTTTGAAAATATGAGTGAGCTTGCTGAAAAAAAAGATTATTTTGTTCTTCTTAACTGTTTCCTGGATGATTCTGCTCTTATCTTGTTTCTCTTCTCACAGGCCCTGTTTCTGTTGTGAATGTCCATGTTGAACACCCTCCAGAAGCCTCGGTGAACATCCACCAGGTGGAGAGAGTAGATGGTCGTGAGGGCCAGTCAAATACTGGAAGCAGGGCTGTTTCACCAAATCAGGCAATCAGAATTCCTATACACAGAGTACAGGCTCAAAGTAGCCCCAGAATCAATGGCTTCTCAGAAACATCTGGTTATGGGTACTGCTTCAGAAGACTAGACAATGGACAGGTAAAAAAATAGATTAGAGATGTTAAAATATTTCTAAAACCCAAATTTTTTTAATTTTAGTTTTTTAACAGACTTTGAAGTGTTAAAACTTAAGCTGGGTTTTTAGTGCATTCTGTGCCACCACTGGGCAGATGCATGCTCTCTATTTTTCTTATTGAGATAATGTCCTACTGAGAATTCCAAAATGTTATAATTATCACCATAACAGATGAGGGTCAGTTTTCTACTGGGGTTACCTGTTCTGGTATAAGAGTGGATATCCCTGCACCATTTCCAGCAAGCTAAACAAAAATGGCATCTGCTCCAATTCCTATCTAGATTTTTGAGGTGCACATACAAGGGCTTTGCACAAAATAAACAAAATATATTTTTTTCTCAGCACACTTGTTTGTTCTGTGCATATCCCTTCCATATGCAGCTTACTCTGCAAAACTAGTATTGGGGAGGTTGCTATTTTTGTTTAGTAACCTTTTAATTATATAACCTCTAAAATTAAACATTAACATTTAACCTAACCTGTAAATTAAACCCTAAAATAAAGCAAATCACTTAAAGCGGAACAATACTCACCACGTGTAAGCGATTCTACATCTTTGAGCTCCTTCATTGGAGCGTCTCCTTGGCTTCTTCTATGTTCAGCATATTCATCTATCTTGAGTGGCTTGCCCTGGATGATGTAACTCCTACATATTCTACCCAGCTACGCATGTCAACAAACAAAAGAAGAACGCAAACAGGAAAGTAAAAAGCGTTTATTGCAGAAGAAACGTAGTATGTCTCTTCTGCAATATAAAAATGTTCCTGCTTACAAATTTTTGAAACCATTAAAACATCCTATAACTAGGGTTGCACCAATACCAAAACCAATACCGGTATGTGATGGTGTGACCAATCAGAAGCCAACTAGCCCATACTGTCATCACTGCCAGGAGAGAAGAGAAAGCAGCGGAGACTTCAAATTCCCGAATCTGGGAAGCAGATTTTCATTGTCTGGCAGAAGGAATCAGCAATCTGACACAGCGGAGTCCAGTGGATGGCTGGAACTGCTGAAGGCTGGGGGGTGAGAGCCGTTGGAAGCTGGAGGGTGAGAGCCGTTGGAAGCTGGGGGGAGAGAGCCACTGGAGGCTGGGGGAAAGAGCCACTGGAAGCTGGGGGAGAAAGCCATGGGAGAGGCAGGAGGAGCCCAAGCCACAGCTGATGTCCACAGTGGGACCAAGAGCCAGAGCTGGTGGAACCCTTCATGCTGGAAGGTTTCCCGTACCACTCCTTTGTGAACGCAGGCTCAAAGTCACTATAACAAGCCTGGGTTTGCACAGAAGCTGTGCAGGAAATGGCGTGCAATTCAGACAGGAATTTTACAGCATTCCTGTTCAAATCACATGCACTTCTTTGCAGTGCGATTTGAGCCCATTCATTTTGTATGGGTTTAAATCGCACTGCAAAGGTATTGGTACTCGGTTTTGGCAAGTACTTGACCAAACGTATCAGAACTCATACCCGCCGTTAAGAAAGCGGTATCCATGCATCCCTACCTATCACCTAAATCCTAAAGTGAATATGTACTCCCCCTCAAACTTTAAAACAGGAAGTCTTGCCTGGGCACATACTCCACAAAATTGATGCTGTTTATATGTACAGTATCAGACTAAAATTATATGGAAGTGAAGATCCACTTACTCCATCAATAGTCTATCCTTAAATCTTAGATATCAGCACATCAAAAGGGATGTCACATAAATCTTTATTAACTTTCTTTAATATCAAGCACTGCCAATGGATTGCCATGATTACAGCCGCTTAACAGCCAAAACGTGTTGGTTGCGTTTGATATTTTGTGAACAAGGCCACGTGTCGGCCAAAAGGCGTTGGGTGCTGTTTGATATGTATGCTCCAAGGAAAGTTAATAAAAAAGCTTTTATGAGACTTCCCTTTTGATGTGTTGATCTCTGAGGTTTTCTTAGCCAGAAATAAAAAAGCTTCTTCTCTGCTTTTCTCCTGTTTGGATTTATTACTGAGGCTTACGACTTATTACTTTTGACTTTTCTCAATTTCATGGCTAAGCCCTGCCAGCTGTCATTCTCCCATCCATGTCCAATAAGACAGCCTTATTGCCTTTAATTTCTCATGGAACAGGCTATTGTCAGTTATAGACATTTAGCCATGTCAGACCCCAGTAACAAAGCGAACCTAAATCAGAGAGGGGCACAGAAAATACCATTGTGCTTAACAATAAAGGTAAGAACATACACTTTAGGCGGGAGTTTTTCCAAGGGTATTATGGAGTATAGGTTCATTTTAACCGTAAGCTGGCCATACATTATACATTTTTCTTGTTCAATTTCCTTTAGATTTACCTTCAGCTATGCAGTGTAGGGGACTCCCTGACTGCATACAATTTGAAAGTGTTTAGGTTTGACCTCATATTATATGGTTTTGGTGAATTTAAAGGAAAGTTGTACAAGAATATTGTATAACATGTGGCCAGCCTTAACCTTTATTCTCCCCCCCCCCCCCCTCCCAAATGGAACTCTTAACATAGCCTCTCAATCTTTAGACACCACCCATGCAATAATTTACTGGGCTCAAGGAACCCCTGTTAATAATTACTGTATCTACAGCTCATGGTACATTAGTGTGATGGTCACTGGGTAGGATGCTTTGTGATCACTGGAAAGAGTCCCCCCTTACATATTCCTAACAAAGATAATTGGTGTCAGTGGTTAATCATTTGAGAGGCATGCTCATTGCTCAAGGAACCCCTTAGCAACCCCTGGAAGAACCCTTGTTGAGAATGGCTGCCTTACCGTAATACCCAAGATTGAATAACCCCTACATTTTTCACACTTGGCTTAAAGCAGAACTTCACCCAAAAGGGAGGTTCTGTTTTTTTTTTGCCTCCTTCCGCCCTTTGGTATCACTTTTGGATACATTTATTTTTTTGTAGGGGGGCAGGTATCTGGTTTTGACAGGTACCTGCTCCCACTTACACTCGGATTACCTAGGTGATCTGAACAGAAGTTCAGCCCCTTTGCCCTCAGCCTTCTTGGACATGTCACATGTCCCAGAAGGCTGTGGGACCATTCACATAGTGCAGCATGGCTCGTGCATTCACAGTAGGAATTTGGCTGTGAAGCTGCAAGGAGTCACAGTCATCTTCCCTTAATAAACATGCCAGCACCAGGGCCCCAAAGACCCGTGAATAAACGGTCTGGATGTGGACAGCTCTGAACCCCTGGACAGGTAAGTATCCTTTTATCAAAAGTCAGCAGCTACAGTATCTGTAGCTGCTGACTTTTAATGTATTTCATGTAGCCGGAAGATCCCCTTTAACTAAATGTACTATTAGAACCAAACACAATACTCTTGAGGTTGCAGCAGAGGAAACTACCATTCCTACAGGACTAGTAAAAAAAAAGACTAAGGTATGACATCCAGGGTTTATTTTTATGTTTATAGTATACATTTTTATTTCTGGAGTAAAACAATAACCATGACTATACATAGTAAAGTTTAGCTGGAAATGAAAAACATTCTTACGTAAGCAGGCCAAACATGTGAGTGCAGTTTCCTCGGCAGCTCTGATACCAATCACAGAGAGCACACAGCTGCTAACAGCCGGACCGTATTAGGCTCCTACAGGTGCAGGCAATCACATGGGCTATTAGCCAAAAACATGGAATGAATTAAGATTGGAGTGCTCTCTACGCTCCTCATGTCATTCCTCAAAATCCAAACCATACATGAGGAGGTTGTGTGCAAAGAAGGAGACTTTCATTTGATATCATAGAATGCACAAAGGTAAAAAAAACTCGAGCCTTTACGATCACTATTGTAATCAAACCCTTAATTGAACTGCTTTGAGCTGGACTGAGTTCCTTTTAATACCCCCTTTTTTAAAAAAAATTTAACGAACCGCTGTTGCTGTGGCTTAGTTTCCCTGCACCCAGTGAGCCTTTCGTATGTGAGTCTCTTTACAGTGTTATAACTGCTACACTTAGAAGCCAGCCATTTTGCTCCATTCAGACAACAATCCAATGCCTATTTATTGAAGATCTTTTGGGAGGAATTTATCATCATCTCTACCAAAATAATGTAAAAGTATTCATATCCCTGGAAATGTTCCACATTTTGTCATGTTACAATCAAAAACGTAAATGTATGTTATTGGGATTTTATGTGATAGACCAATACAAGTGGCACATAATTGTGAAGTGGAAGGAAAATGATAAATGGCTTTCAAAAATGTTTAGAAGTAAATATCTGAAAAGTGTGGCATGCATTTGTATGCAGGCCCTTTTACTCCAATACCCCCTAACTAAAATCTAGTGAAACCAATTGCCTTCGGAAGTCACCAAATTCGTAAACAGAATTTAATCTCAGTATAAATACAGCTGTTCTGTGAAGCCCTCAGAGGTTTGCTAGAGTACATTAGTGAACAAACAGCATCATGAGGCCAAGGAGCACACCAGACAGGTCAGGGATAAAGTTGTGGAGAAGTTTAAAGCAGGGTTAGGATATAAAAAATATCCCAAGCTTTGAACATCTCACAGAGCACTGTTCAATCCATCATCTGAACATGGAAAGAGTATGGCACAACTGCATACCTATCAAGACGTGGCCTTCCACCTAAACTGACAGGCCGGGCAAGGAGAACATTAATCAGAGAAGCAGCCAAGAGGCCCAAGGTAACTCCGGAGGAGCTGCAGAAATCCACAGCTCAGGCTGTGGATCTCTGCAGGAAGGCTTCATGCCAGCAGAACACAATAGCACGGCAGGAGTATTTCCCACATCCACCTTGAATGTGTGGATGGGGAATTGGCACATTTATTTTTTTAGTTCAACCCGTTGGTTGAACCAAAAAATGTATACTCAATGGCCTGCCTTAGTGCTTTTGTGAGAGAGTTATGCTTTAAGGGTCCCTCCTCTCCACCAAATGGCGCTTTTTTTTTGGGGGGGGGGGAATGGGTTACTGGTTTTGGCAGGTACCCGCTCCCACTTCCACTTGGATCACCTAGACATCTGGGATCCAAGAAGACTGCGCAAACTGTCACAGCCGGGTGCCCACAGTTGAGATACGGGCGCCGGGGAGAGAAGACCAAGGGAAGGAATGGCTCAGCTGAGTGTTTGTGTATTGAAAGTCAGCAACTACAGTTTTTGTAGATGCTGACTTGTAATGAACACAAAAAGGACTGGAGCTCCTCTTTAAGAATTAAAGAACACAGCAGTTCTTTCAGCCAGTTCCATACAGAAAGACTCAGTTGCCTTTTTTCAGATATTATTTTGACTTTCCCTCTGATAAATTCAGACAAGACTTCATTTCCAGGATGACCACACTATCTCCTGAGGTCTCATCAAAGAGCTTTTTCCCTCCATGAGTGATGCTGTACCGTCCAAGTTATATAACAGCACAGTCCTGGAAAAGTATGAGAACTGAGAAATTTTGAATGACAGCAGCTTTATTGCTATCCCATGGGGAGGTCACTTAGTCTAGTGTTTGTTGAGCCCTTGCTATGTCATACTTCTACTTACTGCCAGCACAGCTGCTCTCCCATCACGTTAATTGAGGTTTTTTCTTCTATCACAGTGCGCTTCACCTTATCCGGGCCTGAGGACTCAGGAAATCTGCTGTCGGGGTTCTGGAGTAGCTTGGGGCGTTCATGACTGTACACCCTGCCCTGGATACCAAGGTAAGTTTATTAACCCCCTGCCAAATGTTGTGTTGGGTCCCAGTTCTCAAGAGGTTTATTCAACAAGGGTGATACATCTCTCTTCCTTCTTTTCTATGGTCATTCTAACATTCTTTAACCAGTGGATATATATGTCAGGTTATCCTAGAGCAGTGGCCTCCAAACTGTTGCCAGATCAGCCTTTATTCGACCCTTGGGGCAATTTTCCTCCCATTGAAGCCTACAATGTACATAATTCCTTCTACTGACAACAACTGGGCACTGTTCCTCCCACTGATACCAATGATGGGGCACTATTTCTCACATTAATACCAACAATGGGGCACTATTCCTTCTACTGACAACATTAATGTGGCACTATTCCTCCCACTAATATCAATGATGCATTGTTTCATCTCACTGATGCCAGGGCAATTTCTGCTCCTAATGGCCAAAGCCTGGCCCCCCTAAAGTCTAAAGGACAGTAAACTGGCCCTGGTTTGGAAATCTTGGAGTGGAAGGATATTGCACGGAGCAGCCCCTCGTTTCCTTCTCAGGGGTCCTCCGCTGTCCGCTCTTCCTCTCCTGAGTGTGCCCCATAGCAAGCCATGTGCTATAGGGGCACACAAGCAGGCATACTCCCAAGCCAGGCTGTTTGCATCCATAGACACGCACAGTGTGGCCTGGCCACGCCTCTGCTCCCTCCTTCCTGGTATTGATTGACAGCAGCAGGAGCCTATGGCTCCAGCTTCTATCAGTATTTCCTGTGAGAGCAGGGAGAGAGACCAGTGCTGCTGCAGATGAGCACAGTGCTGGATCGAGGGAGGACTTTGGAAATGTTTTTGGGGGGGGAGGGTTGGGGGGGACACAAACAGCAAGTGGCAGTTTTTTTTTTTTTACCTTAATGCAGGTAATGCATTTAGGTAAAAAATCTTTTGACTTTTTAAAAACTTTAGGACTTGCAGTTAGTTTGTTACATATCACACAGATGTGCCTTGCTGCACTTATACAGTGTTATAGTCTGATCATTGGGGGAAGAGAAGACTGAGGTAAGTTTTCCTCCTGCCTGCAGCAGACTGATGACATCATACCCTAGGAATTATCACCTGCCTAGAGCTCAAGGACTGCAATGATAAAACCCTCAGCTTTTCTGTCTTTTACTATTGCTGTATTTTGTAACGTGAGGAATTTCTTCATGTGAACTTGTAAATTTACTGAAAGGTCCACTTTACCTATCCTGTGAGTGTTTCTTTGCTTTTGTTGTTACATTGAGCTCTATGGCTGGTGCCAGTGACAGTAGATCATTTATGAAGGTTCTTTGAAAAGTTTCTGCATTTTCACATTCGCAGCCATCTTCACCAAAAGCGTGACAACTCGTATACTAAACTGCAAGGTCAGCCAGCTTGCCGGACACACTAGTCACATGATACTCTCAGACATGACCAATTGCTACTTCTCCCACCCTCACTGTTTCCAACGAAAATATAAAAGTGTGGAAACTTTCTGAAGACCCCTCATAGTAAGTGTGTGGTTAGGACATTGGAAAGACTACAGTCAAGGTATAAAGTAGCTATTTGGAGCAAGCCCTTGAAAGAAATAGACAGCAATACCCTGATTCATATATGTATAGGTTAGTAGGAGTTCCTTACTCAACTCCAACCACAACGTTGGGGAGATTTCCCCTCACTTTTCAGTCCTTTAACTTCAGGAACAAAAATGAGAGGGATGGAATCATTGAAACAGTAAAGCACAGGAAAAAAAAACCTTACAGAGGTTCTAAAATTGTTTTCAATATTTAGATGATAAAGCTCTATCATTTACCATACACCTTGCTCTCCTCCTCTGCCCAAAGTTCCAGTCTGTTCATTTTTCTGCTCCAACCCTACTGGGAAAATGTCCCCTCATTTCCCATCCCCGGTCATGGAGAAATGGAGTGAGTGGAAATCTCTGTAACATGGGCAACAATAAGAACCTGACGGGGGTTCTAACCCTTTCCCACTCCACACAAAACAAAACAAAAAAAAAACAGTTTTTCATGGTTGAGCTTTAAATCTTTTTTAATAGGCTCATTGGTGTAATAGCCACAGTAAACCAACTCTGAATCTGTAAAATGCCCTATGATATCAATCTGCTTATTTTTAAATATAACTTTGTTCCAGCATTGCAATTTTTTTTACCAATTTTATTATCATAATAACAGCAAATGTGGAGTTCAATGAGACACGGAGGTTTATTTTCTCTTCCTCTTGTTATAAACATGTTGCACATTCCGTGGAACAATCTGCAACTTTGTTTACAAGGATCTCTGACCCCTGATTGTATAAATGTTCCTTTTTGCATGTTAAGTGAAAAAAGTGAACAACTGGAACATCACAGAATGTCCCTGAGTGATGATGGATGGGGACACTCAGAACTGGTACAGAGTATAAATTGCCAGCGCCATCCTTCATACCCGAAGGATATGAGAAGCAAGCAGCCAAACCTTTGAGGGGGTTCACTCTTCTTCCAGAAACCACCCATATGATCCTGCTTGGAGAGCCATGCCAAAAACACATCTGTCCTTACCAAAATCCCAGAGATCGTGTCCATCTGTGATAGATAAATGTGATTACAAAACAGACGGGAATTTTATTGGGTTCAGCAGAGGTCTCCCACTCTCGTATCTGTGAACCACCGAGGGACAAACCTCCAATAATTCTTCCAGAAAGATGATTTTATGGTAGAGTTTAGCAGAAGGACAGGCTAATATTTATCATCCCATATAAGCAGATGACGTTCTAAAAAGAAAAGCTCCTTGTAAACTAAAACCAAATTGTGTTAGCTTACCTACAGGAAGAATCTGTCTCTTATGTGGGTAATTTATGGTTAAGTTTTACTTAAAGTGTTACTAAACCCAGGACCCTGCATTCACTATATCTGGTCTCCCACAGTACACAGAACATAGAAATGCAATTATTTTAGTAAATACAAACTGCTGAAGACTTTTTATCATCAGCATTATATAGCAGTCTTGTAACTTTTATCAGTGTCCAACTGAGTGCTGGTTAAAGCTTGTAGGAGGAGTTTTCATTCTCCTCTGACTTTCCTATGAGGCTGCATGACCCCTGACCCTCTGTCTGGACAGTGCTGATTGGCCCTGTGCTGATCACATGTATCCTTCTAAAGTAAAGAAAATTTCTCTAGCAATCCACACTAAACTGAGCATGTGCAGAGTGACTCCTAGAGCTTTGTACTATTACCAGATGGATTGGGGACAGTAGAAGAAGGGGAGGATATGAGAAGGCTGATCACATGTATCCTTCTAAAGTAAAGAAAAACTCTCTAGCAATCCACACTAAACTGAGCATGTGCAGAGTGACTCCTAGAGCTTTGTACTATTACCAGATGGATTGGGGACAGTAGAAGAAGGGGAGGATATGAGAAGGCAGGATCAAACAGCCGTTTTACATAATGGAGGATTAACGCCTTAGGTTTCACAGTGAGTATAACAAGCATGCTTTACTGCCTATACAGACTGATCTTACTATTGTGGGTTTAGTAACACTTTAACTTCGTAAAGTCATATAGTGTAGGCTTCATTCATCAGAACTGGATAGATGAGAGTGTCACATGACTTATGCCTATGGTATTTCATGTAATGATGTATTAATCCAGTCCAGAAAAAAGGGAGGAAGCCAATCACTGTTTAAAAGCCAAAGTTCAGGTATATTGAAAAGACCACTGCACAGACTAATCCCCCTGGTGTTACCAAATCTAAAGCATTTCACTCCTACAAGAAGTTCATAAACTTGAATATTAGCTTTTAAACAGTGAGCGACATCCTTCCTTTTTTCTTGACGATTGAAGTGATGCACATGGAGTGGTTCATGACTGTTGGGCGTCTGCACCCAGTGCCAAAGCACTAGAGTTAAGGGGGTAATGCTTGTAGAACAGGGGTGTCAAACTCAGTTACATTGTTGGCTACATCACCATTATGGTTGTTCTGAATGAGCAGTTGTACCTCGTAATACTAGATGTCCAGAGCACCCCACATCCCCATACATCAAATATCATGACCCCCCCACCCCTCACCACCATCAGAAGTCAAGTATCCTCCCTGACATCACAGTGTGCACCCCTCTTACATTGTGCTGCTGAAGCTGAGGGAGAAGCTGGGAAGAGGAAAATGCAGTCTGGAGGAGGACCAGAGGGGGTCTAGAGGCAGCTGCTGGAGTCTGCTGATTGATGAGACCAGGGGAGGCAGAGACGACGGGGTGCTGTGGCTGCACAGAGAGGTGCAGGATCTGTAGGAGGAGTTCTGTCCTCCTCTCTGCTGCTGACTGCTGAGAAAAGATAGGGGTGGAGACAAGGGGGGTGTTGCAGCTGCAGGAGGGGTGTGAAGGCCACATGACATGGTAGTCCAGTCCCATAGTGTGCTTCTTTTAGTAAAAAATGGTATTAGCTTGGTCTCCTACTAATGGGAGACCCACCTCTAACATGTTTCGCCCAATCGTAGAGGCAAGTTCATCATATCCCACTTCCTTTCCTCCAAGCACATTGTCTGTACCTGTTATATATTTTTTAGGTTTTTGCTTTCCCGGAAACACAGGGTAATCAAATGGCTTCACAATGTCTGCATTTGTAGGTTGTTTCAGTGTGTTCTGTCCTCCTCTCTGCTGCTGACTGCTGATACAAGAAGGGGTGGAGACAAGGGGGGTGTTGCAGCTGAAGGAGAGGTGCAAAGGCCACATGAAATGGCAGTCTGGAATTGGCCTATGGGCCTTGTGTTTGACAAGTGTTGTAGTGGGATACTATTCTTTTACTATATCAGTAAATTTCTTAATCACCAACGAACAGTCATCAGGTAAAAGGTCAATATGTTTCAGAGGTTTGCAAACTCCCCCTTTATCAGGGTAAGAAAACAAAGCAACAGGAACATAATATCAGAAGATAATTTTACAAATTAACATACAGTACTATGAAGGTCATGTGTTCTTGATTATGACCCTAATGATTATACATTCTGTATATTAAATCAGCCTGATGCATCTTTTCTGCTTCCACAGAAGGGGCTGTAGTTGGCATTTTTTCAGAATCCCCCTGTCCTAAGGGCTATACCAGAAGCAATGGAACATGTATAGGTAAGCCATTTTACACATTACATATAGCTCATTCTTACCTATATTAAATTTGACCTCCTCTAAAATCCTTCTTCTCTAAACAGATATTGATGAGTGTAAAGATCCATCCTTTTGTCAGTTTGGAAATTGCGTCAACACTAGAGGGAGCTTTACCTGTGTGTGCAAAGAAGGGTATCTTCTGGATTCCTCAAGAAGCAGCTGTATATGTGAGTAAGATTTCTTGTAAAACATAAAACCCCTGAATAACTGGAGGCGAAAAACTGTGGAGACCTAGGTTCAGAGATGGTGTAGAGCAGCCTTTCTAAACCTTTTTGATACAGAGGAACCCTTGAAATAACTACTTCAAATCACTATATCTACAACTCATGATACATTAGTGTGATGGTTAGTGGGAAGAATGCTCCTTAAACTTGTGGACATTTGGAAGAATTACTTCTTTACAGATAGCTAAAAAGATCAATGGTGTCAGTGGGTACTTATATGAGAGCCAAAAACTACTCATTGCTCAAGGAAACCCTAGCAACCTCTGGAGGAACCCAAGGTTTCCATGGAACACTGGTTGAGAAACCCTGGTGTAGAGGGCATTTGGTCCCCTTCTGCCTTTCCCATGTGATACCCGGATACCTCTCCTGCTGTTTTAGCAGGTGTAGTGTCAATGGCACGTTTGGACATACCTGGTGGGATTGTCAGAAGAGTAGACATTTTTGTTCTTGCACCTACCAAATAGTTTTTACTATCCTAAATTGACCCCTCCAAAAGAACCCATTGTAGGCTCTGGCTTAAACAAAAAGCCATCTGATTGATCCAAATCCGAATTTTGTTAGCTTACCCATATTTTCACTGCTGATGGCTGCCAGGCCTAGAAAAGGCTAACTGTTGCCTTTGAGGAACTTAAAGTAAAATTTAAGGCAAACTTTTTGTCAAATAGTGTAGAGTCGTGTAGAGGTTTTCTGGTATTACAAACAACAAATTGTTTCTCAGTGGGCACTATCACTTAATATACACACAAGTATAGTAAAGTACCTTTGCTGCCAAAGACTAGGTAATGGGACTTTGTATATGCCACCGAGAAATCACACAAGGATAGTTGAGTCTTTTTTTTCTAATCATAAAAACCAATATGGAACATAAAGATACTATTAAAATTCAATAGTCCCTGCATATCATCAATTTTGGGATTTTTGGACTGTAGGACCAACGCGTTTCACAAGAAATTCACTTCATCAGGATCCACACCCTTGTTACATACAATGAACTGAGTATTCTAAAAAGATAAAAGTAATATAAGCAAAATAGACATACACTCGCTCGTCACTGTATTAGGTACACCTTGCTGGTGCAAAGAAAATATCCCCCACACCACTACACCACCGCCACTAGCCTAAACCGTTGATACAAGGCAGGATGGATCCATGCTTTCATGTTGTTTACACCAAATTCTGACCCTACCATCTGAATGTCACAGCAACCAGTTTACCCATTCTCCTCTGACTTCTGACATCAACAAGGCATTTTTGTCCACACAACTGGATATTTTCTCTTTTTCGGATTCTCTGTAAACCCTAGAGATGGTAGCGCATGAAAACCCCAGGAAATCAACAGTTTTTGAAATACTCAGACCAGCCTGTATGGTACCAACAACCATGCCACGTTCAAAGTCATTTAAATCCCTTTTCTTCCCCATTCTGATGCTCAGTTTGAACTTCAGCAAGTCATCTTCTCCACATCTATATGCCTAAATGCATTGATTTGGCTGATTACCAATTTGTGTTACCAAGCAATTGAACTGGTGTACCCAATAAAGTGGCTGGCAAGTGTACAATATTAAGTGACATTATAAACTACATCAAAAGCTTATTCATTTTGGATAGAGTAAGGGAGGGTCATAACTCCTGTCAGGTTTTTTTTTTGTCACCTAAGTCCCACTGGCGATATCTTCTTTCACTTGCTGTTCTATGAGAGGAAATCCCTCCAAAATGAGGGAATCTCTGGTTGTGACCAGGGTGACCAGAATTAGTACTCATATTGGAAGGTTTCCCTTTTATTTGTGTTTTGGCGACAACCCAAGATTTGGGTTATAAACAGGATAAATAGAGAGGGTGACTCTCCCGGGGCACAGGCAGCTAAAAACACTTGACAATGTTCTAATCCCTCTCAACCCACTAAGGTTTTGCCTTTAGTTATACTTTAAATTGCACATTACCTTGTGTATGACATTTAAGAAAATGGCAACTACTTATGATGATAGATTGTCTAAATTTCACATTTTTGACCCTTGGCTGGCAAAATCTGACCACGCTCTTCTCACTAGTTAATTTTTCTTGAATGGGCCTGCAGTGGTTGGGTCCTACCTCAGTGAGCACTGGTTACCCCCTTCCTTTTTCTCCATTCTCCTACCTCTTGCTCGTCAGTCTTTCTTCCTTTCACTTCCTCCTCGTGTCCACTTTTTTGTTTGCTTCTCTTCTCTTGTTCTTCTCTTTGCTTGTTCCTCTTGCCCTCCATCCCTCCATGCCTCTTAGTTGTCCACCATAGAAGTTTTCTACCCATCCAAGTTATTTCATTTCCATAGGGATGGGATGTCCCTAGGATTGTTGCTTCTAGTGCACACTACGAGTGATAAAATGATGACCTGTATCGTTATGCCAAATGAAAGCCTTGCTAGGCTGCTTTCATACATTGTCAATCCGAAGTAGAGTGAGGCTTACATATTATCTCCGTTCACGTGTTCTGACATGTAAAAATGTTGCAAATTCAATAAAACTTTTGAAACAGAGATGGAAATGTTCTTCTATCATTTGATAGTAGAGATGGAAATGTTACCTCTAATTATTCTACTGAATGATTGTGCTTTCTTGGATCCTGTTTTCTCTTAGCCCATCATGTGATCTCAGAAGTTAAGGGCCCCTGTTTCCGGATTTTGCGGGATGGTGGCTGCTCTCTCCCTATCCTCCGCAACATCACCAAACAGATCTGCTGTTGCAGTCGTGTGGGCAAAGCTTGGGGCAAAGCATGTGAAAGCTGTCCTCCCTTTGGTACAGGTGAGAATCCATCTGTGGATTTTAATATTTTGCTCTGGCTAAGCAAACGTTACTGCTGTGCAAAAAACAATTGTCATTTGGCTTTATTTTGTAGATGGTTTTAAGGAGACCTGCCCTGCTGGGCCTGGATACCATTATTCTGCATCAGACCTGAAAATCAACCACCGTTATGTGGGGCTTGATCAGGCCAGGGTACCAGTACAGCGTCATCCTGGATCCAGGACGGCTGTGACCACTGCTACCCCACCCCAGAGGCCCGTCACAAGTAAGAGTCCAATTTTTATAGATTTATAACCTGTTCCTTTTACTACAAACATAAGTGTCCTCCTAGCTTTTCGCATGCTCCATACATTGAAGTGAATGTTACATCTATTCTGCACACTAAAGTGGACCTAGCCTCAGACACAGTATATTTCTTAATGTTGAATACACGCTAAGGTATTTTCACCTCCCACAGAAATCCCTGTACTCCCCGAGAGTGCTTCATCTACTTTTCTCCTCAGAAGGATGGTGACATCTTTGTTCAGGCATCAAGCAGGGTACACCTCTATTTCCTGGACTGAGGCAAAGTTGCTGGAGCTCAGGAATTGCTTTTTTAATAATAAAGGACGGACATTTGTTGAAAAACTATTATGTTGCATGTGACATGTCAGGAATGTAATTATGATTGGTTTCTATGCAGAGCTGCACCAGATTTTTCACTATCCAGTTTTAGTAAATAAACCCCATAGTGTGCTCCTTTTAGTAAATAATGGTATCAGCCTGGTCTCCTACTCGTGGGAGAACCGCCTTTAATGTGTTTCACCCAATTGTGGAGGCAAGTTAATAATACCTCACTTCCTTTCCTCCGGCACATTGTCTGTACATGTTATATATGTTTTCGGTTTTTGTTTTACCAAAAACACAGGGTAATCAAATGACTTCAATATGTCTGCATTTGTAGGTCGTTTCATTGTGGATGACAGGAGGCCAGACAGAGAACAGACCAGACCACAAACTCCGGACCAAAGGATATCCGACACTATACAGATTTATAGACCAGACAGGACACAAATACAGATAAACAGACCTTCAGTGACACTTGAAAGACTTTCTCCCACCTCTCCCCCAGAACGTGTGGACACTGAGGTGGAGGTACCTCCTCAGGGTAAGTGTGAAGGCTCGCTCAGCCCTGTAATAGGACAATAGGGCTCTAGGACTCTGAGAGCCTGTTGGAAGAATGTAAACCAGCAGTATTTATGAAAGCCTTTGAAGCTTTATTCACACTGGACCGGTTATATATTTTTTGATGACAGGAAAATGCATGGGGAAAAGGAAATAAACTAAGCTGGAAAATGTCCTATTTTGGGTGCATTTGACCTGCATATTGACATTTAAGTCAATTCAAATGTATTTAAAAAAAAGATCTAAATTGGCAGAACCTTGAATCTCACCTTTTACCCTAACATTTAAAGTAGATCTATAGGCAAAACATTTTTTTTTATTTGGATAAAGTAAGCAAGGTTTATAACCCCCGTCGGGTCTTTTTTTTGTCACCTATGTCCCATTGGGGAGGTCTCCTGTCACTTCCTGTCCCACAGCAGAAACAGGAAGTGAGTGGAAATCCATCCATAGTCGTGAAATCCTTGGTTGTAACCAGAACTGTTGCCTCATTGGAAGATTTCCCTCTATAACTTTTCTGGGGACAACCCAAAATTTGGGATTATCTTTTACTTTTAATGATAATCGTAAACAGGACAGATAGAGAGGGTGAATCTAACGAGGACACAGACAGCAAGAGAAACCTGACAGGTGTTCTAATCCCTCTCCACTCTATCCAAAACTAAAAAAGTTTTGCCTTTAGTTACAATTTAGGATCTTTTCCCCCTCTGCCCCTGGTGCTTCAGCCCACACCCAAGTATTCTCTGTCTCTTTATCCTATAATACAGACACTCCAATTGCAAGAAGATCTTGAGGCACTGCTACCCTTAGGAATGATGGGGTAGCAATGAGCATTGTAGCTATAATAGTTGGTATAGTGGCCACTTGTGTTACAATCAGATAGGCCTTGGCAGTAAAGAGTTGTTGAAAGATATAAAAAGTGGATTGTACCATCATCATTGTAACATGTATGGTCAGCTTTAGACATATTTCAGTGTTTTACACCTAATCTGTCAATTATCAGGTCATGTATAATTCTCCCTGTGACATTCAAAGATCTGTTCAGATAAAAAATGGACAGGATTGAAGTTGTAGATATAATATGGCTAAATCCAACCTTTCTCAACCAGAGTTCCATGGAACCTTGGGGTTTCTCCAGAAGTTGCTAGGGTTTCCTTGAGCTGTGGCTGACCACCCATTTGATGGGACCTACATTATTCTGGGAACAATGTCAATTGTCAGAGACAGCTTCAGGACACCAATGATCTTTATAGTCATATGTTGGGATGGCATTCTGAACACCACTGTAAGGCCATTCTTCCCACAAATGTAAATGTAAATTTTCCCACTGACCCTAATGAATTGGCTTTCGTGAGACCTGAAAATTATTTCATGGGTTCCTCTGTGATACAATTGGTTGAGAACACTAAACATATTATTGGCATATTCAGCTTTTGCAGTGGATAGTCTGAAAGGTTTCAAAATGGGTTGTCTATAGCCAACCCCGAAAAAGATGACTATGTCAGCATATGTATGGTTACCTTGTACAAGTGATTGCACAAACTTTTAAAGTCAAATTTTCCAGCTATCTTTAAAAGAGAACAACAAACACATGAACTATGCAGTAAAGCAATTATTGGTTTTAATTCCTTAAGAATGGAATCTGAAATTAACAAAAGTGAATATATAAAAATCTCCTAAACCATGAGACATATGGTATATTTGAAAAACCACCCTTTACATAAAAAAAAAAACTTTAATAAGACAAAAAAAGCACAATTTATGGTAACCTGGTTTTTGATTTTCAGAGTCGACTTGTGTGAGCTGAACCCACAGATCTGTGGTCCTGGGCGCTGTGAGCCACGTCCTGCTAGCTACACCTGTGTATGTAACAACGGTTATTGGTTGAGCACACAGGGCACCCACTGTATCGGTAAGAATTTATGATTTCTCATGACTGCACAAATGGGGGCATACCTGCCTAAATCCAGGCTTTTAATAACCAAGCCATCCCCATACCGTGTTTACACAATTTACAACATCAACATGTTTGTTATAAAGCCACAGCCTTTTCATCACAAAGCTAAAACTCATTAAGGTACAATAAAGCCTAAATTGAAATTTAACCTTGAAATAGATGCTGAAAACCCAACTGCTAAGGGATTCTGTTTTTTTTTTTTTCCCCAGGGATTGCTGTTCACACCAGTCCATCCCATTGTCCTGAACACCTTTGTATAGTTTTTTTTTAATGCACCGACAACTATAAAGCCAGATGTATCAAAGTGTCAATGCTCAATATATACTGGATGTAGAGAGTGCCCCAAAAGTCAAGATCCATGGGCAAAAATGTATTTAAAAGTTCTGTTACAGTAAATGCTCAAATTGACGGCTTTGGCTACATTTGTATACACATTGAATTAAAAAACATTAAACATTTAATGTAGAAGAACTGATGCAAAGATGATTTCCTCCTTTAGTGCAACAATTGTTCTGGGCCGATTCCAATAGAATACTGACTTTGAATGACGTCAAAGGAAAAGAGTCTAAGAGAACTAGGAGGCCATTCAACTAGACTTTGCCCACCAATCCACCTGTTTGGAAGTTTGTTTTAAAAAATTCCTCACAGCAATAGCAAAGTGTGGTGGGGCACCGTCTTGGCAAGACAAGATTTTAGGCTGTTCCAACAAAAGAATGTCATCTAACTGAGAGACAAAAGATGTTAGCAAGTAAATTTCCCTTTATTTCTCCTCGAATATTCCCACCCACACCATAATTCTGGAATGTGGATCAGTTTGTCAGTGGCCTTCAGCTGTCTAGTTTGGGTTGTTTTCAGACCAGTAACATGTTGGTTGATGCTACCGCTGAAACGAAATGAGACTTAATCGCTGTAAAACCATTAATTCCCACTTTTGTAAGAAACACATACAGTATCCCATACACCTGGCAGTATCATCAACATCATGCAGTTCCTGGACCAGCTGTGCTATGATGGAAATGATGATTTTTATTAATTCAATGCCTATGGATCCAGACTTTTGGTACACCTTGCAGGTAACTATATATTCTGATCCCAGGCAAGCAGGTCTCCCTCCATTGTAACATCTACCCAATGCGTTGTTGGGCAGACAAATCAAACAAGGCTGCAGTGTATTTCTAAAACCTAAATCTGCAGATAAATTTCACGGATCACAACTTATCTCTCACACATCCGCAACAGATTAGTTTTGCCAGTCACTTTTATGGCTTAAGAATATATAGATAAGCATAACAAATGTGTACCTGGTTTGTAAGTCAGTCTTACAGAATTCTATTTTAGCTGTAACCTCCCTGGCGGTATTTCCGAGTGTAGCTCGGGGTAAAGTTTCAGTAGCACAAGCGGTAATCCCCGAGCTACACTCAGGCTTACCATGCGGCTTTGCTCCGCGATCCCTCGATCACTTACCTTGTCCTGCGCTCCCGCGATGTCCCTCCTGCAGTGTCCGCGGCAATGTAATCCGGCCGATGCCAGCATCTGTCATCTGGGTTCCGTCCCCTGCGAGCGTTGGGACATACGGGGGACGGAACGGCGGGAAATTTGAAAATGACAAAAAGTGACATTCACTAAATACACTAAAATCACATAGTAAAACATTACTGTATCAAACCATTTCACATACATTTTGTCCCGAGTGCTTTGTCCTGTGCCCTGCCTGCATTTTTACAGTTCTTTCTGCCTGGAAACTGAGAAACGTCCATGGCGTCCAAAAAGCGTCCCTTTAGGTCAAAAGTGGTTTTAGACCAGCTAGAGAACAGCGATAGTAAATCAGAACCACTTGCAGAATTGAGTGATAATGATTCGTGGGGAAATTCATCATCAGACACTGAAACGATTTTGCGACTTTGCTCAGTGATGTGCAAACTTGGTGCTATATTTCCAATTTCAGTGTTTTTGGTTTGATTATATTATTGAATTAAATTTATTATTATTATTATATTATTTTTTATGATTATTTATTAAATTAGAATTTATGATTTTGTGTTTCAAGTTTTATCATCTGCGGGATGTTTACTAGACTCTTGTTCGGACAGATTTCAGTGAGTTATTCCTAAAAATTACAGGCCTACAATAAAAAAAATACATATTTCCATGCAAAAAAATGTAACGCTTTGAGCACAGAAATATGGACATAATCAGACCGCTAGGGAGGTTATTGCTGTAAAGTGTAGTTTTAGTACATTTGTATTGTGTTGAACAGTATGGAATAAGATGGCTTTTTTTTTATTACATGAGCAAATGTATAAAAAGAAAACTGTGGAAAGGAAAAGAAAGGTAAAAGTGTTGGCCAAAGCAACCAATAAAGTTATAGCTATTTGTTTGTAATGAAGGTTAACGTGGTTGTAAACCCTTATGTATGTCCAGTGAATTGACTGACCTCAGGTGATACACAGAGAAGAAGCAAATCCTCCTACATAAATTGTACCTGTTGACCTGTAGTGTTCTCTTCTCTACATCAGTACAAAGTGTTACATTTATAAAGATTGTCTGAGGATTCAGAAAAAAGGAGGCGGAGAGCTGAAATTACACACTGCAGAACTCAGTGAGAGGAGCTCTGAGCTTTGATAGGAATGAAGAGACACACCCTCTCCACACAGCACACAGGCTGAGTCTGTCAATCAGCTGGAGCTCCCTCCAATGTCACCAACGCCAACTAGGCAGCAGACAGAAATGCCACTTATTGCTTTTAATTGAAACAGCTACACTCTATAGAGGGATATGCCTTGTTCATATTTCATGTCTGAGGTTTACAACCAGTTTAAATGATGAAAGGAAAGACCTGGTACATTGCTATGGGGAACATCATTTTTTCTATTTTCTCTGTTTTTAATAAATGAGTCCGTATGTGTTTGGCCCGATTACCCGCCTCCCCTTGCTGTTGGACACCCAGCGGTCCATTAAATGGTTTGCTAAATGCTTTATTCATATTTATAATACTTTGTCCAGAAATCCAGTGGAATGTATTTTCATGGTTTCTGGTTTCCAGTTAGAGGCTATAAAAATGCAAATGTTGATCAGATGAAGAAACAAACAAAACTCTATTTGGCATCTGCCCCAGTCATGTCGCACAAGAATGAGTCCATGACGTTGGATATGCAGCCTGGAAGTCTGCTCCCAATGATAATGGCGCCTTTTACTGAGTGTTTCTCAATGCTCCCAGCAAGGGTCATGTGTACAGGGAAATCAATACAACGCAGATATGTCAGGTTGGTGTGTGTTATAGACAGATGGGGAAGCTTGCAGCATTTATTACATGGGGAGATAGATATCAAGATGTTAACCAATGCTGATCAGCATTCTTCAAACAACAGCATTTAAAGGAATACGCAGGGTGCCACTTCTAAAGTCTCCTTTGGAAAATGCTAGTTCCCTGGCTGTCATGCTCCAAATGCTTAGTGCTTTCTGAGTCGCTGATTTGGAACAAGTTTGCAGATCTGGAGTTCTGACTTAATTTGCTGCATACTTTTTGCAGATCTGCAATTCAGTGGTAAATTCAGCGACAGCCAGATCAGTAGCAATTTTAAAAGGAGTGGTCAGCAATAGCCTGTATCAGAACAGGGCCGAGAGGATCCTTGGAAGATGTGCAAAGGGGAAAGGGGGGTAGCCTCTGTAGTATCCTGACCATTGTGCGGGACCAAGCTGTCAAAATGGTAAATACAAACACACTTTCCTTCTAGTTATGGGACTTTAAACATGCCAAAATTGTACCAAAATATGCTCCACTGTTAACATTCCACTGTTATTAACAGTTAAAACAAGCACGATTTTAAACGTAGTACCATACATTTTACATGTATATTAGAATATAGATACATATATTAGAATATAGATACATACAACTTATTTCCATGTGTTTCACACAGTCAATTGCTATGTATTCCCCTCCATTCAATAGTGAGGCTCCCAGATGAAAATTAGGGTCCACTCAGAGGAAACAATGTAATAATTACGACACTTTTCATGGGTACCCAGTTTAGTTTTTCTTGGACCATAGGTGGTAACCTTAGGACTAGTGGTTCTCTGTTTACCTACACTGACCAGGCCACTGTATGTGCAAACTCCATCTATCTCATCATGAAAGGTTGGGGGGGGGGAGGTCAGTTTGATACTGGCTTGGTTTTGGCTTTTGGTTTTGGTTTTGGGCAGTTTGGTATTGGCTTGGGTTCCTGAACATCTTGTCCCAACACTGACATTCTTTTTTTTTGGGGACAAAGAATAGTTGAGCACAACTTGTAGCTTACCTGCCTTCCATTGTGAAAAGGAGAATTTTGTTTTAGGCAAACTGTACATATACAGAACATACTATGTGCTAACCACTGTAGGTCATTTAGTGCCATATCTTTGATTCCATTCACACTTGTATGACTTTTCATGAGACTTTGGACACAAAGTCGTCTGACAAGTCACAGCCTATGTATTTCAATGGAAGCCATTCAAATCTATGCGTCTTAAAGTCGTAGTGACTTTAAAAAGGTTCCTGCACTACTTTGATGTGACTTTCATGTGACTTAAGTGCCATAAATTGCAATGTCAGCTCTCAAAAGTCTCATGAAAGTTGCATCCTAATGGTATTAATGCGGCAGGTTTGCAAAAGTCAAAGCCAAAGTCAACACCCAAAGTCACACCTATCCAAAGTGGCATCAAAGTCGCAATGGAAATCGCACGACTTTGAAGTCGCACAAGTGTAAATGATGCCTTACTATATCAGATTCATAACAATCGTGAAGTTATGCCTTAACCTCTTCCCATCTGGCCCATGCCAATAAACGGCCGGACGGGAGCATTACCAATGCATCCATTGCCTGTGGGCACTCTGTGGGCGCTGCGATCTCTGCTGGTGGACACAGCAGAACACAGATGGCTGTATGAGACCGCTGTGTGAGGTCCCAATTCATGTGATCCCTGATTGGCCAATCAGTGATCACATGAACAGTAGTAACATGATGTCACTTCCTGACATCATTGCTTACTACTAGTGAAATCTGTGAATGATCACAGTGATCACATGGTACAGGGCTATTCACAACAGCCTTGTACCATTTGACAAGCTGTGACCAATCACAGCTCTCACATTATTTCTCAATCATTTCTCACAGAGAGAAGGAGAAATGATTGCTTTTGCAGCCTTTATGGGAGTAAAAGCAATCTGTGTAAAAAAAATGTAAAACAATTTTCAGCACCCCCCACAAGTAGTACAGTGTCACTATGGTGACACTTTACTGCTAGGGTGACAGTATGTAAAAAAAAACAAAAACAGAAATAATAATATTAAATAAATTAAATAAAAGTTTGGAAAATTATAATTTTTTTTTATAAACTGATTTTTATTTTTATTTTTACCCAAAAGATAGCTGAATACGTTTTGGCCAAGATTTATGAAGAAAGATTATTTATTTGCAAAAATTTTATAAGAAAAACACACTTTTTTTTCAAAATGTTTGGTCTTTTCTCATTTATATAGCAAAAAAATTAAAATCCCAGTGGTGAATAAATACCACCAAAAGAAAGTTTTATCTGTCTCAAAAAAATGCTAAAATTTCATTTGGGTACAGTGTTGCATGACCGCGCAATTGTCATTCAAACTGTGATAGCGCTGAAAATTGGCCTGGACTGGAAGGGGGTGAAAGTGTCCGGACTTGAAGTGGTTAAACGAGGATCTATTCAAAAATATAACACAAATTATTGATAGATTTAGGTTTTCTGGATCTGCTAATGAAGGAATTGCACCAATGAGACACCACAACATTGTCTTCTGTAATGGAGGAGATTTGTCCAGCCCTTTAATACCGTTTGTTTTTTTTTTGCTGTCCTGGAAATGGTGCCTTTATTCTTTCTTTCATTTATTTTTTTCACCCAGACATGGATGAATGTCGGCAAAGGCCAAGTCCATGTGCCAATGGACGATGCGAGAACACCGTGGGCAGTTACCGATGTGCATGTTCTGCAGGTTTCAGCACCAATCCACAAGGCACAGAGTGTACAGGTGAGACATTCACTGGAATTCTGGACTGACAGATCTCATAAATACACTAATTACAGATTATAGAAATCACAGGCATCCCTAATACCAGACTGCACAACACACATACTCTCTAACCCCCAAACTGTACATCCCATAGCAGGGGCGGACTGACAACTTATGGGGGCCCCGGGCAATAGGGGATCATGGGGCCCCTGTGTCCTTGCCCAAACTCAAAAAAGCCTATGAAAAAGGTACCAGGGGCATCTCATGAGGCCCCCTACTGACCCCGGGCCCTCGGGCAGTGCCCGAGTTTCCAAATGGTCAGTCCGCCCCTGTCCCAAAAGTGTATAGGCCACACGTATTCTCTAATTCCTGAGTATATGGACCTCTAATGGCAAAATGAACAGTGTGTGAGGATGAGGTCTCATTCACACCTACAGCAGCCCTTGCTGCCCCTCTGAAAAGCAATCTGTGGTAGACTGCTTTTCAGAGGGCATGGAGCAATGTCTGCCAGGCATTCAGGAGGCGATATTGGATACAGCCTGTTCGGCTGTCAATTTTCAGTCTGGCTCTTTCAATTTATTATTCGGTTGGGAGGGTAGTAACAGGGCCACTAACAGAGCTAAATTCTGCCCATTGATTAGAAAGGAACCAAAATTCTCACAGTCTATGGCCACCCTTATTCTATAAAGTCCAGAGTCCACAGGCCAGCCAAGCAAGATGTTTGAATTCTAGAAGTCTATATAGATTTTATATATTTGATTATATTTAGATACCTTTGTCATATTTAGGAAATCAGTTTAGAGTGCCAGTAAAAGTGCATAAAATTGCTCTGAAGATGATGTCCATCTAAAATTGTTTTTTTTCTGTAAGCTTTTTTCACAATAGCAATTATGTGCTTAACAGACAAACACGTACATTGGGGTCGATTTACTGAAGGTAGATACACTGTGCAGTTGCACTCATTTTCTCCAGAGTTTAGTGAATGTGATTCCATCAACCAATCATTTGCAAGCAAAAATGCTGTTTTTTTTTAATTTTCTTTATGCCCTGACTGGATATTTTGGTAAGCTTCACCGCATTTATTAAGCTCTGGGGAAAATGAGTGCAATTGCACTTCCAAAGTGCACAATCGATTTGCCTTTAGCAAATCAACCTGATAGGGTAACTGTGAAAAAGCAATAGGTGCGAACAAGCATAATTTAGAGATTAGATATTTGCACTGTGCAGAAAATCAGGGTAATCCGACTTTAGGGCCCATTCACTCCATCAGCTGCGCTAGAATGCAGTGGCAGGTATTCGATAGGATGAAATCGGTGTTGATCCCAGCGCATCACACTGCTTACTTGTTTAATGCGATCTATATTGAAAGGTCATAAAACTGCCATTTCAGTAAGGTCTATTGGCCACAGCGTGGTGTTGGACAGTAGCTACTGTGGTACCACGCTGTGCTAAAAAAAATAAAGCTGCTGTACTTTTTTTTTCACTGCACACCACTGCAATTCGCTGGCCTGATGGGAAACAAGGCATTTTGCCTTGCCTTGTGCTGTGACTGTGCTGGGCAAGGTTTGTTACTCTGTTACCGCTCTTTACTGAAAGAATTACTTAAAAATCTGAGTTTGTTAGCTAACATTTATCATTCACATCTCCAACATTGTGACACAGAGCTTTGTATGCTGCCTGGTTTATTAAAACTCTCTTCCTTCCAGACATCGATGAGTGTAATAGCGGGCAACAACTCTGCACCAATGGAAGGTGTGAGAACACGCCTGGCAGCTACCGGTGTGTCTGCCCATCGGGTTTCAGCCTTAACGCACAGGGCAAGGCTTGTGTAGGTAATGTATCTGCAAGCAAAGTATGCTGATTTCATATTTACAAGAACTGTGGCTAAATGATGAGAAGTAAGGCAAGAGTTGTACACTAGTCTGTGTGTTACTTACACCTGTGCTCTAAGCAATATGCACTCCTGAGCCCTTAGCCTTGTAAGATGCATACTCCTGAGCCCCACACGTGTGCAATGTGTACTTCTGAGCCCTACAACCTATAAAGTATGCTCTCATGAACTCTGATCCTTGTGCAGCATACACTCGAGCCCTGCACTATATGCGATACAGACTCCTGAGACCTGCACTCTATGCGATACAGACTCCTGAGACCTGCACTGTATGCGATACAGACTCCTGAGACCTGCACTCTATGCGATACAGACTCCTGAGTTTTTCACTCTATGCAATACAGACTCCTGAGATCTGCACTCTATACGATACAGACTCCTAAGACCTGTACTCTATGCGATACAGACTCCTGAGCCCTGCACTCTATGCAATACAGACTCCTGAGACCCTGCGCTCTATACGATACAGACTCCTAAGACCCGCACTCTATGCGATACAGACTCCTGAACCTGCACTGTATGCGATACAGACTCCTGAGACCTGCACTCTATGCAATACAGACTCCTAAGTCCTATACTCTATGCGATACAGACTCCTGAGACCTGCACTCTGTACGATACAGACTCCTGAGACCTGCACTCTATGCAATACAGACTCCTAAGCCCTGTACTCTATGCGATACAGACTCCTGAGACCTGCACTCTGTGCGATACAGACTCCTAAGACCTGCACTTTATGCGATACGGACTCCTGAGCCCTGCACTGTATGCGATACAGACTCCTGAGACCTGCACTGTATGCGATACAGACTCCTGAGACCTGCACTCTATGCAATACAGACTACTAAGCCCTGTACTCTATGCGATACAGACTCCTGAGACCTGCACTCTATGCGATACAGACTCCTGAGACCTGCACTCTATGCGATACAGACTCCTGAGACCTGCACTGTATGCGATACAGACTCCTGAGACCTGCACTCTATGCAATACAGACTCCTAAGCCCTGTACTCTATGTGATACAGACTCCTGAGTTTTTCACTCTATGCAATACAGACTCCTGTAGCTTGCACATTTGTGCATTATGCACTTCTGAGCTCTGCATCTTGTGCAACATGCCCTCACGAACCCTGCTCCCTGTGCAACATTCACTCCTGAGCCCTGCACCCTATGCAATATGGACTCCTGGGCCCTGCACCCTATTGGATACAGACTCCTCAGCCCTGCACACTGTGCAATATGCCCTCTTGTGCTCCACACCCTGTACAACATGCACTCATGAGCCCTGCTCCCTGTGCAACATTCACTCCCAAGGCCTACACCCTATGTGATAAGGACTCCTGAGCTCTGCAACCTGTGTGATACCGACTCCTGAGCCCTGCACCCCATGCAATATGGACTCCTGAGCCCTACACACTGTGCAATACGCACTTCTGTGCTTCAGACCCTGTACAACATGAAATCATGAGTTCTCCTTCCTGGGCAACATACGCTCCTTAGCCCTGCATCCTGTGTAATACAAACCCCTGAGCCCTACACCCTGTGCAGTATGGACTCCTGAGCCATGCACCCTATGTGATACGGACTCCTGAGCCCTGTACATTGTGCAATACACACTCCTGTGCTCCAGACCCTGTACAACATGCACTCATGAGTTCTGCTTCCTGTGCACGCATGCACTCCTTATTCCTGCACCCTGTGTAATACAGACCCCTGGACCCTACACTCTATAGAGTATGGACTCCTGAGCCGTGCACCCTATAATATATAGGGACTCCTGAGCTGTGCACTCTGTGCAACATCCACTCCTCAGCCCTGCTACCTATGTAACACGCACTTCTTAGTTCTGCACCCTTTGTGACATACACTCCAGAGCTCTGCACCCAGGCCCGGTGGGCTTAAGATGACCGGGCCACACAGCGGGAGGTAAGCGGCAAATGCAGTCTGGACGGGCTAATTACAATCCACAGCCACCGCTCACCTCCCGCTGTGCGGCTATGCCCAAAGCAGGGCCGACAGGAGGTGCGGCAGTGACGGCTCCTGAAGACCAGCAGGAATAGCCGCTGACAAAGGGACACCTCCTTGGCCGGCCACTGCACTGAAGGGAGAATGGTGGCCTCTCTTCCTCACCCGTGGCCGCCGACACACTGTGACAGGTTTGTAGCGGTAGTGGATGGGCTGTCTCTTTGATGGATGGGCTGTCTCTTTGATGGAGGAGCTGTCTCTTTGCTGGATGGGCTGTCTCTTTGCTGGATGGGCTGTATCTTTCCTGGAGGAGCTGTCTCTTTGCTGGAGGAGCTGTCTCTTTGCTGGAGAAGCTTTCTCTTTGCTGCATGGGCTGTCTCTTTGCTGGACCAGCTGTCTCTTTCCTGGAGGAGCTGTCTCTTTGCTGGATGAGCTGTCTCTTTGCTGGAGGGGCTCTCTCTTTGCTGGATGAGCTACAGCTGTCTCTTTGCTGGACGGCTGTCTCTTTGCTGGATGGGCTGTCTCTTTGCTGGATGAGCTGTCTGTTTGCTGGAGAAGATGTCTCTTTGCTGGATGGGCTGTCTCTTTGCTGGATGGGCTGTCTCTTTCCTGGAGGAGCTGTCTCTTTGCTGGATGAGCTGCCTCTTTGCTGGAGGGGCTGTCTCTTTGCTGGATGAGCTACGGCTGTCTCTTTGCTGGAATGGCTGTCTCTGTTGGATGGGCTGTCTTTTTTCTGGACAGTCTGTCTCTTTGCTGGACTGGGCTGTCTCTTGCCCAGTTGGGTCCAGCAAAGAGACATCCCAATCCAGCAAAGAGACAGTCCAGTCCAAGAAGGGACATCCCCATTCAGCAAAGAGACATCCCTGTCCAGCAAAGAGACGTTCCAATCCAGCAAAGAGACAGCCAAGTCCAAGAAGAAACATCCCCATCCAGCAAAGAGACATCCCTTCTTTGTTCTATAGGGATATCCCTTTGCTGGATTGGGCCATCTCTTTGAATATATAGGGGGTACTGTGACTAGATCTCTAGGGGCATTGTAATGTAAAGGGGCACTGTGATATAAAGGAAACTGCACTGTAAAGGGGCAATGTAATCGATACAGTGTCCCTTTACAGTGCAGTCCCCTTTATATCACAGTGCCCCTTTATATTACAGTGCAGAGGACCGACTCCGTGAATATTCCATCACTAACTGCCCCCGCAAATGCCCTTGCACACACCCCCTCAGAAATTGGCTGCTCAGTCTAAAATGCCCAGGCTTATATTTTTGTCGCAGTCCGGGCCTGTCTGCACCCTATGCAATATGAACTCATTGAGCCTGGACTGTGTCACTTGACTGCTCTCTGGGGAGGGGGGTTGAGTACTTGCACCTATTCTCTAAGAAAAAAAAGCCCTGATAATTATATATGTCAGAATTCTTTAGATCTTTTACCACCACAGATGGTAAAGTTTGTTTTGTCTTTTACATGTGGATGAGTATTAATACCATTGGATGAAAAAAAAACCTTAATGGCTTGTTATTTTTCTCAGAATGCACTCTGGCAATGTTTACAGAGTTTGTTTAAATGCAAGTTGTTCAGTACTGCAGGTAATTACAGAGGGCCCTGTGTTTGTTCTTGTTTATGATCACTTCATAGTAATCTTCCCCCCATCTTTGTAGATATTGATGAGTGCCGCCTGACTCCCAGACGCCTGTGCCTGAATGGCCGATGTGAGAACACACCTGGAAGTTACCGCTGCGTCTGTCTGGCAGGGTATACTGCCAATGCACAGGGCACCGACTGCCAAGGTGGGCATGATATTAAATGGCACTGAGGAGGTTAAAAAATATCCTAAAATAATTATTTATTAGAATTATATGCTGCACAAAGAATATGTTCACCCTAACAGATATAGGTTCTGTAAACTGCTGCATCCATTAACTATACAATACAGAGGTTGCACAGGCAGTCCAACTCCTCCAGAATGGCACATCAATACGTGACATTGCAAGGAGGTTTGTTGTGTCTCCCAGCACAGTCTCAAGAGCATGGAGGAGATTTCAGGAGACAGGTAGTTATTCTAGGAGAACTGGAAAGGGCCGCAGAAGGTCCTTAACCCATCAGCAGGTCCAGTATCTGTTCATTTGTGCAAGGAGGAACAGTATGAGCACTGCGAGAGCCCTACAAAATTACCTCCAGCAGGCCACTTGTGTGAATGTCTCTGGCCAAACAATCAGAAACAGATTTCATGAGGGTGGCCTGAGGGCCCAACATCCTCTAGTGGGCCCTGTGCTCACTGCCCAGCACCATAGAGCTCGATTGACATTTGCCATTGAACACCAGAATTGGCAGGTCTGCCACTGGCACCCTGTACTTTTCACAGATGATAGCAGGTTCACCCTGATCACATGTGACAGACGTGAAAGGGTCTGGAGAAGCTGTGGAGAATGTTATGCTGCCTGTAACATGGTTCAGCATGACTGTTTTGGTGGTGGGTCAGTGATGGTCTGGGGAGGCATATCCATGGAAGGACGCACAGACCTCTACAGGCTAGACAATGGAACCCTGACTGCCATTAGGTATCGGGATGAAATCCTTGGACCCACTGTCAGACCCTACGCTGGTTCAGTGGGCCCTCAGTTCCTCCTGGTGCACAACAATGCTCTGCCTCATGTGGTGAGAGTATGCAGGTAGTTCCTGGAGGATGAAGGTATTGATATCATTGAATGGCCCATACGCTTGCCTGACCTAAATCCAATAGAACACCTCTGGGATATCATGTTTCAGTCCATCCGATGCAGCCAGGTTGCACCCCAGAGCTCCAGGAGCTCAGTGATGCCCTGGTCCAGATCTGGGGTGAAATACCCCAGGAAACCATCCTTCGTCTCATTAGCAGCATGCCCCAATGTTGTCAGGCATGCATACAAGCAGGTGGGGGCCATACAAACTACTGAGCACCAATTTTAGTTGCTGAAATTACATTTCAGAAAAATGGACTAACCTGCTGCATCATTTTTTCACTTTGATTTTCGGGGTGTCTTTGAGTCCAGTCCTCTGTAGGTTGATAATTTTAATTTCCATCAAATGATGGGGTATCCTTACGTTTCTAATACATTACCCAGTCCACATCAGTACAGATATCCAGCAGGAGATTTTTCCCCATTGAGATCTGATGTGTTTTCAAAGTGTTCCTTTAATTTGTTAATAAGCTGCTGTGTGTGCAGTAATGGACTGCAATAGCATTAACTACATACAGTAAGTTGCACTCTGTTCTGGCAGCATACGGGCAACTTCCCATCTGTTGGAACTAGAGAGAGTTGAGTTGATTGCCACCATTCAGGAGAAGCCTTTAGAAGAGACTCCATTTAGGAGAAGCCTTGTATTTTATCAGTGAATGCAAGGCTTACTGTGATTGGCTAAGGTGGAGAGGTGGGTGGATGGCATCATGGTTTCCACCTTGACCAATCAGAGGAAGCCTTGTATTCATTCCTAAAAATACAAGGCTTGTCTTGAATTGAGAAGTACTCAGCCCGAGCCACTTTAATTCTGGCAGTAGATGTAAAGTGCCTGTACTGCTGTGGGGACAGAATGCTGCTGTTTGTAGCTAATGCTACTACTGTACAACCCATTACAGCACACACAGCGGCTGCATCGTTCCCTAATGGGAATAGTTTGTTTGGGCTAGCTTAGCGACAAACTGTTTATTGTAAAATTGAACCTTGCACTCTATCTTAAATTTCAAGTTAATCCTGGTCGAGAGCTCATACAAGGTTGAAGACTCTAGAAATTGTTTTCTTTACATCAAAGTTATCCTTTAATCATTTCAACCACATTAACACAGTGATCTTCTTACAGACATCGATGAGTGTCGGCAAACACCACGTCCTTGTGGATCCGGCAGATGCTTAAATACACCTGGCAGTTTCCGCTGCTCTTGTCCTGTTGGTTATCGGCTGAACCCACAAGGCAGTGACTGCATTGGTAAGGTTATATGGTCACGTTTTATTGCCGATGGCACATCTGAGAATTTAGTGAAGTAGATGTATAAAATGTATGTCTGATTTTTCGTCAAAAGGCTTGTATTGCTTTATAACATATCAGTGACCCTAGACTGCCCAGATAAGTGCTCTCAAAGGGGTGTTATCTTCTTTAACAAAATTTACATGGCAAGCAGCCTTTCATAGAGGAACTGTCTAATTCAACATTTTACTCAGTATCACAATGGGTGACAAATATGACAATAGTGAGGTCTGACAATCTCCAAACTCCGTAGGGAGAATGAGGAAGTGGGGCTGAATTATAATGCCACCCTCATTCAAAAGCTGGTAGAAAACTTAAAATCTCCTATCTTTGCTTAACCAGCCATGGGAGTTAGCACATTTGACAAAAAGCAGTCAGAAGTGACACAGAGGCATCATAAACCTTAATTAGCCTAGGGTCTTTGAAGACCTTGGTCGATGGTCAAGTTACGGTCTTCAGAGACCTTGGTTGCTGGTCAAGTTGTAAATGGTAAGATGTGCGGTCTAGGAGTACACATCTATGAAGGTGGGATATTGACCTATAGCTGAACTTCCTATAGTCAAACTTCATACATATTCCATCATTTCTGTGGAAAAGTAGTTACCTTCCTAAAAAGTGGTTCATAAGGCTAGTAAGACCCATTAGACCTCCTAGGAGAAATATACTTGAACATCATATACTGTCTATACTATGTTTCACCTAATAACCGATATGCTGGTTTGAGTGTGAACCTTTATCCTATGGAAATATGGACTTGCCCCAGATTGTTTGCATAAAGAGGTGGTTTTGCTGGTCATTATAAAACACTCACGCACACCAACAACATACCTCAAACCTATTGATTCGGTGTGGTAGCTCTACACTACTCTGGCCGAGGTGCAAAAAGATAGCTGAACGAGCAGCTCTGTCATGGTACGTGGCCTACCACTTTATGGCTGAGTTGCTGTTGTTCCCGGTTGCTTCCACTTTGTTATAATACCACTAACAGTTGACCGTGGAATATTTAGTAGCAAGGAAATGTCATGGATGGACTTAATGCACAGGAGGCAGCCTATCATGGTACACGCTTGAATTCACTGAGCTCCTGAGAGCGACCCATTCTTTAAAAAATGTTTGTAGAAGCAGTCTGCATGCCTAGGTGCTTGATTTTATACACCTGTGGCAATGGAGGTGATTGGAACACCTGAATACAATGATTTGGAGGGGTGTCCCAATACTTTTGGCTATACAGTGTATTCTGAAGTTTCTCTGGTCCAGTCATAGGAAGCTGTTTCCGAGCCTGGCTATCTATTCAGACACACAGCCCAGCTCAGTGCCCCCACCCCCAGCCCCCCCTTTCCCACTCTGCGCTCACAGATTTTGACTGACAGCAGCAGAAGCCAATGGCTGAGAGCCGGGAGAGGGGAAAACTGCAGCACAGTGCACGGAGCTGAACCAAGTTCGGGCTCAGGTGAATAATTAGGGGCTTTTTTTTACCTTAATGCATTTAAAGCTTTTACCTTTACAACCACTTTAACTGCTCAGTTGACCTACTTCAGTGATGGTCACTGTCAGTTTGCTGATGCTTAGATTGTTGTCCACCAAGAAGGAAAATCCCTGTACAGGGTGAAGCTGGATGTTAGGTGAAATTTCCCCAATGGGGCACAGACAGACAGAAAAACTGACAGTAATTTAAACCCTTCTTCACTTCATCCTAAATGAAAAAATTATTTTCCAATACGAAAACGTTAACCTAATTAATTACAAAACACATGAATAAGTGATGACAAAATCATTTACTGGGTGCACAAATATTCATGATTTTTACAAAAACTGGAGGTTTGTTTTCACATGGACTGAAACTATGGACCATCTACTGTGGAAACAATTATCAGTATAATGTTCCATTAACTCCAACAGACATAAATGAGTGTGAGAATCCTGGAGCCTGCGCTGGTCAAGAGTGTGTCAATACACCAGGGTCGTTTCAATGTCGCCAGTGCCGTCCTGGGTACAGACTCCAGAACAGGCGCTGTGTGGGTAAGGACCTGATTTTTGATGTCTTGGGGCAGACTGCTAGGACTAAAGAGATTTCTAGTTTTGGCACCAAAGTGATGGGAACAAATAGTTCTGTGTACCTCTCTGTCTAGATATCAATGAGTGTCAGACTGAATCCACTTGTGGTCCAAATGGCAAATGTATCAACACTGACGGCTCTTTCCAATGCGAGTGTGTGCCAGGCTTCCGCTTGAACAGCGATGGAACTCGGTGTACAGGTAAGACCAACTATTAATGGCATTCAAGACTGTTTTATGTAAGGTAGAGAAAAGGACTTGTAGAACAGTTGCACGAAGATTTTTGCTGTCATTGTCCAAGTGGGCTAGTAAAATGACAGATTGAATCTGACTAATTTTCAACTTCTCCTAACATATTGGAACATGAAAAAGATATGGTCTTAGGTAATTGTAATGTCTCTGGTGTAATCAGCTGAGAAATGTATATTGTTATGTAGCACAGTCTCCCACTGTGGGTTTAGTTCTTTCCTTGCTCTGTTTGGATGACCGATGTGGCACTCTGTAGTTCCTTTGTATGGGGTAAAATTCCTGCCCAAGAGTAATTCTCTATTACACAGAAGAATAAGAGATCCACACAGTATCTTCATAACAGTTCTAAGTTCACTGTGGTAATGCTTAACAGAACAACAGTCATTACAGGTATCAAAGGCACACGCCTAATACAAGAGTTAAACAACGGTCTTCAAGGATAGAGAGACGTTTGCCCACACCATATAGCAGAACATGACCCAGCCCTCCTCACAAGGGTGGATGCCATTGGTTTGTCTTCCCTTCTATTAGGGAGCAGACCCAAGGGGGAACACTTTCTTCAGGCTAACCCAAGCCTACATTGTATACCTATTCTAGGCTCAAATAAAAAGGGAGTCCTCAGTTTCCTCCATGATACTAGAGGATTCCTACCAACCAAACCAATCAACACTAAAGAGTCCATCTTTATTTCCCTAGTTCAGGAATGACAAGATGGAGCCATGCCTGAATGAGGCCTTGTGAGGTGTGGCAAACTAAATTAATACCATGAGGAGTGAGGATATATAGTAGCTCCATGCAGGGCCACACCATAGGGCTGATTACTGGGCCGAAGAATAAGGACCTCCATCCTACTACAATATTACCTAACTTCTGGAATGATTAGTAGTCTCTGCGCAGCAATAACATTCCTCTCTTGTGGATGTCCCATCATATATTGCTATTGTATTAACCTTTTACTTGGTTTGTTACAGACATTAACGAATGCCTGGAAGGGGAATACTGTTTTCCACGTGGTGAATGCCAGAACACAGAAGGCTCTTATAGATGTGTGTGTGCAGAGGGCTTTGTCACCAGTCCTGATGGATCATCATGTGTTGGTATGATCAATTTTTTTTTTAAAGTTTGACTTATTTCATCCTTGTACTTTGTAGTGTTGGCATGTGTAAAAGACACAAGGTCATTCAATTTCAGATGTCGTTGCTTGGTCTCAGTTTACACCATGGTTGTCTGCTGCTTCTTCAGGGTTATTCTTCCACTCATGCCCAAACCTGGCTCTCTTTTATGTCTTGTATGGAGGCCACAATCATTTTCTTCCTGATGGTTAGACTACTGATTTTGTCCCATTTAGCCTTCTGTCCTCTTTGCCTGAGGTAGGGCATCTCCACTAACTGAATTCAATGTGATGGCTCTACAGTGTCCATAAATCATAGCTGGAGGTAAGGGTAGCGAGAAGAAATGATGTACAGCCAACTTAGTTATTTTGCATACTTCCTTCCCAATAAAACCCTTGTATTGTGCTGATATTGCAGCTGTTCTCCAGTTGACCTCATCATCATATTTTTTTATATAGTAGTTAAATTCACAAGGCATACACCAAATAAAGCCAGCAAATGGGCAGTAAGCAATTACTTTCAGCATATTAGAAGTACCAGCGTGTAACTGAACAATTAGAGAATCATTTTAAGGTTTTACATTAACAAGCAAAAGAAAAAAAAAAGTCTTAATGTGGCACAGCTGTTGCACCTCCACTTCTGTAGTCAGAATTATACTTGGGAAAATGTACTAGTGTATTATGTACACCATGTGCAGAAATTTTCAATGTCACTTAAGAGGGTTACTTTGGTGTAACGAGCCCGGCACACACATTACCCTTATGCATGTCAATCCCCAGTAGAGTAAAAACAATTTAAACCTTTATCATTTTTATCTTCTAAAAAAGAGATGTGCAAAATATGGGTTTTTGCGCACTACTTTTACAAATTTAGAAGGTGACATTCAGAGCTTGCTGGTCCCCACACAAGATCAGGGCTTTTCCAGAAGTATCATGTACTATATATTATTAGCATAACTGTTATAATAGAAATAGAGTTCTACAGTTTATGGTATATAGAGAATTTAAATTCAATACTCAACATACCTTTCAAGGCAATATAGTTTTCTTTCTACCTTACTAGTTTCCTAACTTTTCTCTCCAAAAAGACTACTAAAGGAGTCTTAGATATACAGTATCTTTAATTTGGCTGCTTTAACCATATTTCTTTGAAGACTAGTTTTCTTCCTTTCCTCTCCAAAATCTATTTAGAACAAGGCTATGCTATCTTTCCTTTTGAATCTCCTTCTAAACTAAAATTATTCAACAGTAAACCAACTCCAAAAAACCCATAACCCAACATTTGGGCTTCATTAGGGGTGATAATTGTGCCAAAAAGTGCCAGTGCTTAGAGCAAGCAAAATAATCATAATAAAACACATACTGTTTGTGCATGACGCACTGGCCCTTTTTGGCACAATTATCACCCCCTGATGAAGCCACAAATTTAGGGGTGAAACATGTTAGGTCATGTGTTTCTTTTGGGGGGGGTGTTTATTTACATGTTTCTGGAGTGTAAGCTTTGGCCGCGTTGAGAAGATGTATAGTAAGCCATTTTTTTGTATGTGGATTGAGGGATGGGTGTAAGAAAGGTCCAAGTAGGCCACTGGGTTGCAGCTGGGGTCAATGTCTTTTGAGTTTGAAAATGATTTGTGTGACCTTTGACCAACACTGTTTAATTTTGGGGCAGTCCCAGAATATATACATGAGAGTGTCTTTGAACCTTCCGCATTGCCAACATGCATTTTGAGTTCCTACACCCACTCATCATCACCTTGTTATTTGTTAAAATAGAGGCATGGTATTCAAAGTGGATAATGTGCTTTATTTGTTGTGAAGAGAGCCTACTCAGTGCTAATGTCCCTTGGGCATTCAGTTTTGTGAAGAGTCACAGATGCATCTGGCCTGAGCACATAAAACAATGGCTGATTTAGGTGCCTGTATCTAGTTCATGAAAGAAAGGAATGATCTTCATTTAGTTTGCATATGTCTTAATGGGACACTAGAAAGCTCCATTGGCATAAACAGTGCTTGGACTAGGGCAGGGGAGCTCAGGTCCTCTGACCAAGGCTATTATAATGAAATGCATTATGCAGAGTTTGCGGTGACATCATCACGCTCGCCTGCCGAGTGCAATGGTGCTTTCAGCAGTTGTCTCTCCTTACTTTTGTGAGTACCTGTCTCCATATTTAATAAATAAAATGTATTCTGCGATATTACACCATTGCTGTCTTTGTTTATCCCTCTGTTCATGAATTTGGTCAAGTTTCAAACACATCCTATAAAGTTATTGCATGAGAAAGTGGCCTGGATGGTGATGCAGTATAAAGTGCTATGAACCTCCTATGGTCCAGAGATCTAATTGTTCGGTTAGAAGTGTGTGCAGCTGGTGGTGTGGGGAAGATCAGCTGGCTGTGTAACACTAACAGGATATTTTATCACAACACGTTCTTCACTTTTGTACTTATGTACTTGATGTATGCCTTTACCTCATTCTGATGTATTATATGCACATTTGTACTTGTTGCACTTATGCACCTATATGATTAGTTTACTTTTAAAGGGATAGTGCACCATATTTTACAGTTTGGTTCTGTCCAGGATGTTTGAGTGCTGTTAACCTGCTTCTATTAGGTTTTCTTGCACTAAGTGCAAAGCCTTTTATATTTAACTACACAGAGATACATATTTTATTTTGATGTTAAATAATCTGATTCACATTATAGTTACAGCAACCTTTAGAGATTTTGGTTTTGAGATATACATACATTATAAGTAAAACAGTTAAATTTTTTATACATTGTTAAAAAAAAGTTAGGAGCATTTCACACTCAAATGCATCATCTAATGATCCAGCATGACTAGTGAAAATACCCTGTACATGGCCCTCACCACCCAGTATATATACAGTACTCGGTATCGTGAAAAGTCACCAGCATGACATAAATGAGCATTTTCCATGGAGTGTAGTCTCAAAATGTAGATAGGTTGTGATCAGAGTGTGGTGAGGGCCATGTACAGGGTATTTTCACTATATACTGGATCATTAGACAATGTATTTGGGTGTGAAGTGTGCTTAAAGCAGAACATCCATCTTCTGGTTCACTCAGTAGTTGCTCTGAAATAGCCTATTCATTTTCAAATCAAACCATTAAACCTCTTTGGTTTCCTGTTTGTAAGACCAGTGGCTGCTATGCTTCCTATTCTCCCAGCCACTGGTCTTGGCACATCCCTTCTGTAGTTCTTTCTCCAGGAAGCAGTAATGTAATTCAGTCCTACTTGCAGTAATGGGCGGGCCGAGACTCTCAGACACATTCAACATGTTCAGGCCTAGTGTAACCGTCCACATTCACTACAATTTCCTGTGGTTGATGGGAACTCTAGATTCCTTTTGCTACAGAGACAGAGGATAGGGTATGATGTAATTCCTGCTGTTACATCTTCTCCTTGGCAGAGAAGATGCTGATATCTTTTGAATTACAGAGATGAGTCCATGAAAATTCACTTTTCTCCTAAATGGTAAGGATTTTCAAAATGTTATTAATTGTTTAGTGTTTTTTTGTAGGATAGTGTACTCCTAGATTGTAAGCTCGAAAGAGCAGGGCCCTCGATCCCCTCATGTTTTGCATTGTATTGGTATTGTTCTGTCACATGTTCTGTCCCCCTTTGTAATGTACAGCGCTGAGCGAACTATTTTGCGCTTTATAAATACTGTATAATAATAATAGTGTACAGATGGATGATTTTCTTTTTTTTGCCTATCCCGGGGTTCTTCTTTCTTCTTAACTCTTTTAACAATGTACAATAAATTGGACTGTATTTATTTTTTTTAAAAGTGCCGGTTTCCAGACCATGTGGGAGGTATTTTACCACTGCTTAATGGAAGGACTATATGTCTAATATGTTTTACACCTGATATATGGAATCTCCTTAACAGCAAACAGGAGATGAAGTCAGCCTCTATGATTGAACCTCTTAATGTCTGTCCTGCATCCCTGTGTCTACTCTCGCTCAGTGGCTTTTCTTCTGTCCTTGAGTCCAGCACCACACAGTGCCAATCTAGACCTAGTCACATAGTATTATGTAAATGATCATTACCCTGGTCTTCTACAGTAGCTATTTCCTTAAAACAAATTGATCCCCCCATCCTCGGATTACATAATTACAGCAATCTATCTACATTTTTAAGAGTACATTGTCTCCTCTGTATGGAATATGCTCATTTATGTTATGCTGGTGATTTTTCATGATACAGAGCACTGTATATCTGCAGGGTGATGAGGGCCATGTACTGGGTATTTTCACTATACATACTGTACCATTATAAGATGTATTTCAGCGTGAAGTGTGCTTTTTTTTTTAACAATGTACAATAACTTGGACTTCTTTCTGGAATATCTTTTCTGGAAAGTGCTAGCAGTATTTTAAAGTTCTGCACTTTGCTCTACAGTTTGGATTTATATATGACCTAGGAGATGTGGTGCACTATTTACTTACCAACACCATGTTCAATATAAATTAGATTTTGGTTTTAGTAATAGAGTACAGTAAAAAAAAGAACTTTCAGGTTTTCACATAAGGGTGTAGTTTTCAAATTTTCCCAAAGATGCCTTCTTTTAATTAAAAACACAAGTTGTATTACAGATGAATAATTGTCTTCCAGCAATAAAACAAAAAAGATATTGTTAAGCTTAACAAAGCAACGTGAGATATTACACAAATAGAGATGGGAGTCACTGAACATTTAATAGGTCAGAGTTGAGGTCTGCCTCCTGAATGGGGAGTAACTATTGAGAACTATCTCACATCTAGCATAGTATTACTTGGATATACTGTTTTTTGTTAAAGGCTCAACTTATTTGTTTTTTAATTTATTTTTTATTATGGGGAATGCAGAAAGACTTGCTGGAAAATTCAGAGGTGGGCAGGAGCACTCAAAACGTACACGTAGATAGGAACACAGAAGCAGAACATTTTGGCTGGAGCAAGGCTTTCACATGGGCCAACTGCAAATTTATTTCCAAATTTAGAATAGTAGTGGAAAGATCAGTACACTAATACATAACAGAGAATGAGTGGAGGCTAAGGGTTACAAACTACCTCATGTTGGTGTTTGTTCCCCTAAGGTGCTTCTTAGGGGGAATCCAAACACATATGTTAGATTATTGACCCCTTTGTACCCAGAAAACTATAGGGAGCTTGTATATATATTTGTACGGTGCATTAATGCATGTGCTTTATGTCAAGTGTTAATGCTCATTCCAATAAATCAGTCCATTGAAATCAAAGGCTTCCGATGTACCAAAATGTCCCAAAAATCAGACTTGTCTGTCTCAATTTTTCTGCTGTATTGTTTTACAGCACGTTGCAAAGCATGTCCAATCTCTTAGTGGGTTGGGGTGTGGAATTGTGCACATTGCTGCCATGCATAGATGTAAATCAGCCCTAAAAGTTCCAAAGGACCAGAGACCAATATGAAGGGTACCCTATAAATCCGTGTAGAATTTGTCAATGTATTAAATAAAATGGCAGAGGCTGTGGATAGGAAATGTTGATATTTTGAACTTGTGAATTGTTCACTAAAAGTGTTATTTTCTTACCTGATCAGACAAAGATGAATGTCTGCAGGGAACATTTTGTCAAGGGGGCCGGTGCACCAATACCATTGGGTCATTCCAATGTGCTTGCCCTACAGGACTTCGAGCCACTGCGGACAAAGTCAACTGTGCAGGTGAGGTTGGGCAGACTCTTTATGTTATTGATGGTCAATTGTAATGAGCCAAACATACCTGGGTTTGGTTCAAGGTTTGCAACCCACCTTTATTGAACCTCGAGCGCAAATTCCAAACCCCACTGAAGTGAATGGGAATGGATTCCCAGAAATCACTAATGGCCATTTTCTAGGCTAATAGGTAAGGGATTGTCAAACAAATACAATGGGGGCTGGTCACTACCTTGAGGAACTTGTACCAGGCTTCATGTTTGGATATGGGCTAATATGGATTTTGGGGGGCCCCATTTTTTTTTTCTCTTTTTCCACATGTGGGCCAAAATAACTCATTGGATGTTAGGATGCCAGTGGCCACCAACTCCATAACAATCAGCCTTAGGGAGCAGTCACATTTAGTAGTGGTAATTATATTGCTTCTAAATGTTTTTGATGCAGCCAAAGCTTTGGCTCAGTTCCCTTAACCTTGGTCCACACATGGGTTTTGACCTGACCAGGAGCTCATTGTTTGTGGTCAACTTGGTAAATATAGGGGGCCTCAAGTACCACTCCTGCAATTACTTTTTATTAGGATGGTATCAATAAGTTAGTAAATAAGTCTCTACCTTTAAAATGCTGTTTTCACCTTCAGCTTTCTTCCTGATTACATGACAAAGTGACAAATTATCTTGACTTTTTTGTTTTTCTCTGTAGATATTGATGAATGTCAGGAGAGAGGGTCATCTATCTGTGGAACTCAAACCTGTGAAAACACACTGGGATCCTATAAATGTATAGCAGCTTGTGATGCTGGGTACAGATTGACTTCTTCTGGTGACTGTGCGGGTAAGAATTCTCCGTTTCATGTTTCCAGCTTAGTAGATGACAATGAAAGGGTTCATCTGGCCAGCCATTACAGACACCCGTTTTTCATTCAATAGTTTTGATCATGAGATTCTGTATTACTAATGCTTCCTGAATGTTAAAACTCAACTCTGGAGACCATTTTAAATTCAAAGGGTTTACCTCTGCTGTGAAATAATGTAATAGCAGTGCTATTTTACCACCCTCAGATAATACAGTTCCTGTCATACTTCTAGCCCTCCTCCAACATCACCACTGCAGGTCTGAGAAACACTTTCCTTTATTGGCCATAGGTTTGTGGGCGGGGCCTACTCACCCTGCACGAGGAAGGTACTTTTCTCATGTACGCGCTCACTAATGCCCAGGACCAGGCGGTGCCCAAGTCATGTGAATTCAACATTAAGGTGGAACCCCCCAGATTGTGTAGCAACATGAAGATCCCTTTTGTGAAACACTCTGTCCCATATCGCTGCACACCTTGTCTTCTAGAATGTAGCATTTAGAGGGGAACACTGCTGAGCTTGTATCCTGCTCCACCAGTCCAGCTTTCCTCTGCCACCTTACTCCCAGTGACAGAATGAGGTGCTGCTGTGCACTAAGTGTGGACCTTATGCATGCACTTAATTAATTCCAGCTTTCCCATACCATGTGGCTAGGTCCTTGGAGTCTCCGTACCATGGGTCCAGTCCCGATTGCTTTTGGGGAACCAACCACTAGGGAGGAAGTCAGAACACTGACCCCCTCGCTACTTGAGGGCCTGTCACCCATGCATGATGCAACTCTTCACTGTCTGGCTGCTATTGCATTCCCACCAGTCTGTGGTTACCGGTAGTAACTACATTCTTCCCTCCAACTCCTCTTCTGAGGTAACCCTTTGTGGTGGCTTGCTGTTCCTTTCTCTTCACTCCGTCTTTGTCTTACAGGCCCTGATCTTCTATATACGCCATGTACCTCCATGCACCCCTTTGAATAACTTCAGACCAGGCAAGAATTGGTTGAGCAGATTTTACTGGCCAACTCAGGTATACAGTCCAACAATGCAATACAGTCCATTCCTGACTAACTAGACCAAGACTGCCCAGTGCGTATGTTCCCAGAAGTGAGAGTCCTTGAGAGGAAGAGTCCTTGCTCAGGAAGGCTTCCAAAGTGCAGTGCAGGTGTTGCTGATGACTTCATCCTCAAGCTTGGCCTCCCGATTCTTCCCATGCAGGCTGCGGGCACTGAGCAAAGCCATCCGCCCAGCACAGTTTGGGGACAGAGCTCGGAAGATGCCCAGGAAAGTGCAAATAAAGATAAAACCCCTCCCCAACTGAGCAGCCTGGATAGCTAACAACCCATCCTACCTACAAGTTGGTCCCCTTAGACTCTCTAAGGTACTGTGGCTATGGGTTCTTCCCCTGATCACCAATCCAGAGGCACCCTTTTGGAGGCCCATGGCCTGGCCTGACTAGCCCCACCCAGTAGCTTGCTCTATATTTTCCTCAGGCCTTATCACATTGGACCCCAGTAGCAGCTTCCCCCAGCACCTGTGTGTTTTCAGAAGACATTCACATAATGGGTTTAGGAGAGGGAAGTGTCCACACAACAAAAGCCTTTTAACTCTTTTACTGAAACACTGTTGATTTACATATATACAGTACATCATTTCAGTCAATGATAATGATAATGGCACAATCCTTAGTTACAAATAAAGAACAGCAGAGATGAGAGACGAGTCATGGAGCAGCCTATACATTACTAAAGATTTGCCAGAGTCCTACATCTACAGTATAATTATTATTATTATTATTACACAGGATTTTTATAGCGCCAACAGTTTGCTCAGCGCTATAACGGGAGACAATACAGCAACAATACAGTTCAATGCAAGGGATAGGAGGGCCCTGCTCCTTGGAGCTTACAATCTAGGAGGGAGGGGCTAGTGGTACAAAGGGTAGTAACTGTGGGGGGTGGACTGGTTGCAAAAGTAGAAGATTCCAGTATTAGCTGAGGGCAGCATAGGCTTCCCTAAAGAGATAGGTTTTCAGAGATCGCCTAAAAGTGAGCAGAGTAGGCGATAGTCTGATAAATTGGGGTAGAGAGTTCCAGAGGATGGGGGAAGCTCTGGAGAAGTCCTGGAGATGAGCATGGGAGGAGGAGACAAGGGAGCTAGAGAGTATAAACCAATGGATGTGAGCTGTCTCATTAGTCCTGCACCTTTCCTTCCTTGCTTCCCCCCTAAGTGGAAACTCCAAGAAACTTTAGCTTCAAAGAATACATCTTTGCATGCCTTGGTCCTTGCACTGCTTCTCATGACCAATTCTACAGGTGGACTCCTGCCAAACTATTTATATTGAGCCTTCTTACCCAAGCTCTACTACAATGGCAGAGGCAGGGCTGACACTACCTCATTATATATGGTGCACGCCACTTACTACTCTGGGGACCTCTAAGGGATAACTAGACAATTACATTGCCTATTCTCACTACAGGGTTCCTAACCTTAACTATGGCGACGTCTAGTGGCCACTTTGGGGAAATACACCAAGCCCCTCTGTACCCCTACAATGGTATCTTCAAAAGGGTGTAAGTTCATTATTATTTCACTAAATCTTTTGACAAAGAAAAAATCCACCAGAAAAAAATCTGGAAATTTTATGACATCACCCTGCTATAAGCACAATATTTGTTCTGTCTATTCACCAGACTTGGTGCACATTGGAAATATGAATTCAGTTGCTCATTTTATGCTAATGAAAAACAGACTATTGTTTACAGCACAGCAGTGTATAGGTAAATCATTAGATCAATAATTGAATATACTTTTATCTCTTCAGATATTAATGAGTGTGCCAATTCAACTATCTGCGGAGAAAATGCCATCTGTGAGAATCTGATTGGCTCTTACCGATGTACATGTAACTGGGGTCATGAAATGTCCAGTGAGGGACAAAACTGTGTGGGTAAGTCATTCTCATCTAAGCCAGACATCTAAATATTGATAAATGGCAGAGTTGGACTTGATCAATATACAGACATGGGTGGCGCGTTGGCTCGCCTCTCAAAGAATAACTCCATTTTCAAGGAAAAAAATAGCAAATAAAATAAAAAATAATATAACACGTACAATTTCTACACAAATCATATTGTAATTGCATGTTAATAAAAATTACCTTTCCTTTTCAATCTGCAATGCTGTAGTTTTCTGTAAAATGCAGTGCAAGATGGCTACCTGGAAGTGTTCTATACACAAACGGTGTGCAGAACACCCCCCAGAAATCTAATTTCCTGCTTGTGTGATTGACTCACTGTTATACCTACCCATTGGCATCAATGCTTTCTGAGTCAATGACCAAGGATCAAGTATGCAGACCAGGAACCTCAGATTAAAATCAGATGTCCTGATCTATATCCTTGTTCAAAGTCAGGGACTCAAAATATTGAGTTACAAAAGCCACTATGACAGCCAGGTAACTAAATCGTTTCAAAAGGAGAGCTCAGCAATAGGAGCCTCTATGATTCTCTCATGGCAGGTTTCCTGCAAATTTTAAATTTTCTTGTATTTTTTACTTTTACAAGTTTTTAAACTGATGTTTTATATCATTTTTCTTACTTGTATAACATCTTTATTTTACAAATTAATATTTTATACAGGGTACTCCTGTTATACTTATTTTGCCCAAGATTATAGTTTATCTAAAGAACTGAGTTGTGCATTGTAGGACACTCTCATTTGCAGTAGGATCCATTCAGCTGTGTGTGTAATCTGAGAATAGGCTTTTTTTTTCAGCCAGCAGCTAGGCTAATGTAGGCCATACCTGGGTCGAATTCCGAATGAATTTTCTTTAGAAGATCAGAAATTTTGTATCGTAATCCAATGGTGCCACCATTGATTTTGAAATTCGACCAACCAAGCCTTCAATTTTACATGTTGCTACAGAAAAAGAATATTCGTGGCCAAGATTTTTCTTTTCTTTCCAGGTCACAGCTCATTTCTTTTTCGAATATAGTTCTTGCACAATTTTCCCATCATTGATTAGAAATTTGTTCGTTTTTCAAAAACCGTCCAATATGCCCGATCACTCAGATTTGAAATTGGCCGTTTCTGTGGCCCACTAATGGTGCGAAATTCAAACAAAAATTCTTAGAAAAGATTTTTGAAAGAAAATTCTTTCAGAATTTGACCAATGTATGGCCGGCTTATGTTTGGTAAACATTTGAAAAGGAGTCTAAGGCTCCACCTGCTGACTGGAAATGGTAAAAATGTAATACTTAATGCATTTAATTATTTAAAATAAAAATTATTTTGAAAAATATTTCGTTTTGGTCGTATATTGCACTAGAAACAGTTTCACAAATGTGCAATGAAAACACTCATCTGCTTGCATGTGCCTCTCTCATGCTAGTTGGATGGACAAGGTATCAGCATTACCAATAGGATCACTAGTCTGACATGGCCTTTAAACTTAAACATAAATGAAAAAAAACACTGAAACACAAAAACGAGTGTCACAAGCATTCATCAAGGTTGCACCAATTTTCCCTGTAATTTCTCTAATATCATGAATTTCTAAGATCAGCAGCTCCATATATTGGTCTAAATGTGGTATATTTTTGTGAAACCCATTATTCAGAATATATACAGCATTTTGGCCACTAGAAGGAGCTGACAATCGTAGGAATTTAGGGTATTAGAGAAAGTAAAAGGAAAATTTGTGCAACTTTGATGAATGCTGGTGATATTAATTTAACAAATGTTTTGTAAATAGACCCCAATGTATTGCCTGGCTGTATTGTCAGGCTGAATTCATGCGTCACAATTTTGAATCCAAGTCGCACTGCAGTCATGGCAAAACCTGTGTTTGGATGCCATTCATTCTTAATGGCACCTCGAGCGATTTTGCCGCAATTATCATACAACAGAATCATGCGGCAGTCACAGCAATGCGCATCATGCAAACCTCCTCTTTGAGCAATACGTTTTGTGTGATGCGTTTTGCCGTGATTGCCACACAATGATTTTGATCGACAATACAGGCAAAAACACATTGCGTTTGAAGTGCCATTAAAAGAGAAGTATGGCTTTTAATTTTTTTCCCCCATTATATTTACTTAGGTGGATGCAGCATGGGACCGATGCTTTCCCCCGCTGGCTCTAAGTGTGAGAACTCAGCGAGTTCTCACCGTCGCTGTGAGAAGCAGGGCCGTGGATAAGGGGGTACCACTGGTCCTCCTGTATTGGGGCCCAGGCCAGCATGGGGGCCCAGGGAGCTGGGTGAATCAGATGTGTGCAGGGACTGTGATCGACATGGGGGGGAAATTAGTTGAACCGGTCCCCTGTATGGTTCTCTCTGCAGCAGCTTCTACTCCTCTCCCTCCCACTGGCTTTCAGCTGCTGCAGAGAGAGCTATACAGAGGATTGGTTGTAGTAATTGCCCCCACACCCCAACCCCAGTGCACCCATCACCCTCCCTGTGCATCATACATTTCCCCCTGCTGCCCAGCCCCCCTGTGTGCCCCCACCCCTGCAGTGCTGCCAGCTTCCCTCCTCTCCTTCTCACCGGCAGCTGCAAGCACACAAGATGGAGCGTGTGGGAAGGGTCCGGTAAATATGTCACATTTACCAGCCCCTTCCTTTCCTAAATGAACACAAGGAGTGATCGATACCGATCACCCACTGTGTTCATTAAAACTGAAGCATAGTAAACCATTTTTTTTGGGGGGGGGGGCTGTATGGGGCCCCGTGGTTTCTAACAGCAGCCCTGCTGAGCATAGAGCGATGACTGTCAGTCATTGCTCTCTGCTCTGCCCTCCCCCCCCCCGCGCTCACTGGAGCACTGGGCTGTAGAGGGGGAGGGAGCGGCTGGCTCAGGTCTCAGGGGCTCGCTGAGAGGCTGAGCCAGGTGCCGCTACAGACTCTGGGGAGGATCCCTGGACTGGCTGAGTGATGTCAGCCGGCAACGGGCTTAAGCCCACTGTTGGCTGAAAATGGGACACAGAAGTGCAGAATGAACTACACTCCTGTGATCCACAGGAGAAGCACAGCCAAAAGAGCTTTAGCTGTACTTCCCCTTTAAGAGTGAATGGCACCCAAACATGTGTGTGCATTTTGCCATGATTTCAGTGCGATTTGATGATTGTTTAGGCAGCCACCCCTGAGTCCTGTATACGATATGTTTAGTAAAGGCACTATGCCATGTTAACTGATAATTTATTTTGTTATAATTAATCATTAGGTTTCTCATTAATGTTATTTTATTACATTTATTTTCTTCTCTTTTTTAGATATAGATGAGTGTTTGGAATATGGGGATTCCATCTGTGGATCTATGCGATGCCAGAACACACCAGGATCCTACAAGTGTGTAAGCGACTGTGAGCCTGGCTATCAGCTGTCATTATCAGGGGACTGCACAGGTGAGACACAAAGGGTTTATTTATAAAATTCCATAGCTATTCATCCAGCAAAACTGCATAGGCCTTAACCCTGTGTGAACAAACTATTTGTTGTGAAAATGGGGCAAAATCGCATGTTCTTGGCCTATCTTCCTTTCTGGATGAATATTCCTCAAATATTATGGGAAGTAGTAAAAATAGGTTCATTTATAACAAACATAAAGTCACTCAGGAAAATACATTATTATTGCCACTGGATGGTGCTGAGGCACATAGGAAAGAAGAAGAAATACAAGGTAACAATTCTAGAGAATGCTGGAGGGAATTAGCAAATAAATGTAACCATCACGGGCTGAATGCTGTATTGAGTGTTACTTGCATTTAGGGACCTTATATGTTCAAGGATATATGCCTGGAACACAGAATAAGGCCATAAGTACTTGGTGGTGCCGCTCCAGGCTGAGGTGTAGAGCCCCACTGGCACTCAGGATAGCAGGGATGCCAATATAAGGAAAAACTCATCCAATGAGCAATGAACATTTTAGCTTAAAACCCTCAATCACCTTAGCGATCCTGATGATGATTAAGCCCAAGTGGGAGGGGTGAAACATGTCAGGGATGCCCCCTGACATGTTTCACCCCTCCCACTTGGGCGTAATCATCATCAGGATCGCTAAGGTGATTGAGGGTTTTAAGCTAAAATGTTCATTGCTCATTGGATGAGTTTTTCCTTATATTGGCATCCCTGCTATCCTGAGTGCTATCCATGCCGGCTAAGGAGCGGCTTTTATATGTACACATCCATACTAGGATCAGCTAAGGTAAGCGGTGGTTTCAAGCTGAAATGGAACACAGAATCACTGCATTCTGGGGATACATCCCTGAATGCACAGAGCCGTATATGCGAGTACACTCGGTACATCATGCTGTCCAGTCCAGCCACAGCGTATTCCAGCATGCCATAGACTATGACCTATGCCTCTTGGGCCCATGAAAACATTGGAAGTAGCCTGAAAGAGAGGCAAAGGAACCTTTAAGTGATACTAAACCCTAATGTATTTTTTTTAATTTTCATTTAAAGAAGTCCAGGCTCACATAGTATGTAAAGTAATTGTTTTCCCGGACAGTCTCCAAACCACTGCCGTCCCTCCTGTTTGTGGGGGTCTCCATTAGCTAGCTGGCTGTTAGGGAGAAACCCGTGTATGCACTCTCCTGGACGGGGCTGTATGCATCCATTGAAACACAGAGTGCCCAGCAAGCCATCCCCCTGCTCATTTCTTCAGACCCCTGGCTGACAGCTACAGGAGCCAATCACTCGTTTACCCTCTCATCTACAAACCGAAAGATCAGGAAGTGGCACAGATCATCAAGGGTCCCAGCAGCGGTGACAAGGGAGAGAGTAGGTAAGTCTTGGGGGATGGGCAAGTTATGAATATACTGGAGCATTTTTAACCCTAATGCTGCAAACGCATTAAGGTAAAAACTGCTTAGCCTTTAGTACTACTTTAACACTGGTGTTCCTGTGTCAGATATCAACGAGTGCCTAAATAAGAGTGTCTGTGGGGAACATGCAGTCTGCCTCAACCTAATGGGATCCTACCAATGCCTTTGTGACCAGGGCTTTGAGGGGGAGAGGGGCGACCTGCACTGCGTGGGTGAGTGATTTCTATTCTGAGCGCTATACAGATAAAGAGCAATCCTAAAAATGTGTTATTATTGTCCTTGCAGGACTTGTATTGAGGAGCATTGCTGGCAGCAAGTCTGTAGCATTCACTTTCCTATGTACTGTACTGTAGTCCATACGTATTCCTCTATATCAGCCTTTCTCAACCAGGGTGCCCAGGCACCCTGGGGTGCCTTGAGGTTTCTTCTGGGGTGCCTTAGAAAAATGTCTAAAAGTTGCACAAAGCTTGTATACAAGCTAGCGGGTGGAAGAAGCCTGCCTTTTAGTTACACAAAGCCACAGGTTTTCATTGTGTGCCATCATGACCTTCTAACCACCGGTGTCCAGACAACCAATGACATCATCCATTGACAAGGAAGATGTTGGTTGCCTGAACAGCATCCTTGTTTGACCCTCTCCCTGCCCTTCTCTGTGAGTGCTGGGGTCACATTAGCTCATTGATGGAGAAAAACTGAGAGAAATATTGTAGTACTAGGCAGGACCAGTGTGCAAAAGTGTATTTGATTTGGAAGAATAAATCACCTCTTGCGTTGGGTGTCCTACATGTGTGGATGTTGCTGAGTTATATAAAACTATTAAAATATATTTTTACATTTTAGAATGGGGTGCCTCAAGACTATCCATAATTTTAAAGGGTGCCTCGGGACTGTCCATAATTTTAAAGGGTGCCTCGGGGACAGTTCATAATTTTAAAGGGTGCCTCGAGACTGTCCATAATTTTAACGGGTGCCTTGACTGAAATGTGGTTGAGAAACACTACTCTATATAACTATGTTCAGCCCTCATATTGGATGTAATACAACTCCGGATTTATGACTCTGGATCCTTTACATGGAAACAAGAAGACACATTTGTCTTAAATGCTAACACTGAGCCTTGGGTAATCCTCCATGCGTAGGGAGGTTGACCTTGAGCCTTTGATAAACCACACTGTAAATTAATGTTAACCTTGAGTTTTGCACTATACAAATGGAGGTCATCCCTATGTTTTTAGTCATGTTCCTCACACTTGTGGTTTAGCTTCGAGCCGTTTCAGCTGAGCCTCCAGGGATTTACTTTACACATGCAGAGGAAGCTAGAGCTTTTAGTTATACTCTATGGACTTTGAACATAAATTTTACTTTGTCAGTGGGAAGTCATGCTGAAGCTTCAGTTTAGCAAGTTATCCTTCACAAAATACGTCAGGGCAGCCTTAAGCTAGCTGTACACTAGCAGATTTATGAACATTTGTGTGAAAATTCTCATTACTACCTTTGCTGACTTGACAAATGTCATTGGAAAATACTTCACATTTTAGAAACATAGAAGAGTGACGTCAGAAAAAGATCAAGTGGTCCATCGAGTCTGCCCCAATGTTTTTTCATATATTATGTATAACAATTTAAGTTCAAGAACAGACTAAAAAAAGTTTGCTTAACTATACACTAGCAGCTGTTGTGACTCCCAAAGCAATCCTCTTGTGAAGTGACGCAATTTTTTTAGATGACTGTGCCACTACCAGAAACATTCCTGGAATTTGTTTTCCGGAGCACTGCACAGGATCTTTGTTGCGGTGCGCTGGATGTTGGGAATGTCATCAAATCTGTTTCCTTTTAAGGCATTTTGTAACAGTCAAAAGTCACAGGGTGCTAAGTCAAGAGAATAAGGTGGCTGGTCAAGTTTCGGAATGCATTTCTGTCAGGAACTCACAGACATCATGTGCAGGAGCATTGTCGTGGTAGAGAATCTACTTGTCAGGCCAGAGTTCCAGTCTTTTCCTTTGAACAGATTCCCATAACCTTTTCATTTTCCATATTTGCATCAGTTCTTTGTGGCTCTGGCTGCCCACTGCATCATCATGGGCATCTTCTGACCCCTCCTTAAACCGCCTACGCCATTGAAAGACACTTGATCTCTTCCTGGAATGTTCACCGCAAGCCTGTTTTAACAGAGCTAAAGTTTCACTTGCATTTTTGCCATTTTTCACGCAAAATTTGATGTTAATCCACTACTCAAGATTCCTGTCAGTCACAGCGCAACAAACACACGTTATTTCTTCTACTGAGTCAACTGGTCTGAGACCCAGGGAAGTGCAAGTTAGAACATGTCAGAACACGCTCGAGGGCCCACCATAGGGCTACACCGCGGGCATTCTGGGAATTAAATTGTCACACCCTCGTGAGGGTATAGAAAATAATCACACCCTTTAAAATAATCACATTTTGCTGCTTTGCAGCTTAAAAAAAAGAGAGACACAGTTTTTGTTTTATCCAGCTGTATTTACTCCAAGTGAAAGATATAACACCAACATGTCAGAAAAAAAATGTTAAATTCAAAAACTGATTTGGAAAAAGGATCACCCCCTTGTGTCAGTATTTTGCTGAACCACCTTTTCCTTTAATTCCAGCCTTTAGTCTGTTGGGATATGTCTCTACTAATTTTGCACATCTAGACTTTGCAATATTTGCCCACTCTTCTTTGCAGAACTGCTCAAGTTCAGTTAAATTTGATGGTGACCATTTGTGGACTGCCATCTTTAAGGCATTCCCCAGATTTTCAGTGGGGTTTAAGTCTGGGCTCTGACTAGGCCATGCAAAGACATTCACCTTTTCTCCTCCAACCACTGTGTGCTCATTTTTGCTGTGTGCTTTGGGTCATTGTCATGTTGGAAGTTAAACCTTCTTCACATTGACAACTTTCTAGCAGATTTTCCTCCAGAATTTGATGGTATTTTGCTCCATCCATTTTCCTTCTATCCTGACAAGTCCTCCAGTCCCTGCTGAAGAGAACCCCCCCCCCCCCATAACAGGATATTCCCCCCTCCATGCTTTACTGGAGGAATGGTGTTATTTGGATGGTGAGCTGGATTGGATTTATGTCCGACATATCATTTAGTGTTGAGGCCAAATAATTAAATTTTAGTCTCATCTGACCAGAACACCTTTTTCCATGTGGCCTCAGAATCTTCAAGGTGCGTTTTGGCAAAGCTCAGTCGTGACTGTATGTGGCCTTTCTCGAGGAGCAGCTTTTTTTTTTTTTTTTGCAACCCTCCCATACAAGCCACATTTGTAGAGAATTTGTCACATGCACACAATGACCACTCTTTGTCATCAATTCCTGCAACTGCTTCAGAGTTACTGTAGGCCTCTTGGTAGCCTCTCTGACCAGTTTCTTCCTGGCTTTTTCATCCAATTTGGAGCGACTGCCTGATCCAGAGACAATCTGTGTTGTACCAAATACCTTCCACTTCTTAATAATAGACTTCACTTTGCTTCTAGGCATTGATAAAGCCTTTGTTTTTGTATCGATCTCCTGATTTCTGCCTGTCCACAACTTTATCCTGTAGATCTTTTGAGAGTGCCTTGCCACCCATAGTTGATTGTTTCAAAATGACCACAGCTGATCACAGCTGAAAGTCAAATGACTTTGTGTGCCATTGAGAAGGTGATTAGCTCTACCTGACTGAGTTTACAAGTCATTTTTAGGAGGGAGTGATCCTTTTTCTAACTCAGTGATTCTGTTTTTTTAACTTTTTTCGACATGTAGGTGTTATATCTTTCACTTGGATGTTATAAGTTGCACTGAGTAAATACAGCTTGATGATTTTTTTTAACCTTTTTGTCAGCGTATAGATCTATGCTTGTCCCAACCTTGTTTGAATCCACTTACTGTTGACTGACTCACTACTTCTGTTGGAAGTCTATTCCAAGCATCAACTACTCTATCTGTAAAATAATACTTTCTTAGATTAGCTGTGAACTTTCCTTCTGCTAATTTGAAGATTTTGGAATGAATGGACTTTTCTGGGAGAAAACCACATTCACTATTAGAAATTTGTTCCTTTGAGATAATGTTTCATTCTGCTCCTTCAAATTTTCTCATCAATGCAGTCTTAAATGTTGATTTGACCCAGTAACTATTCAAAAAGTAAAATGTTCCTGAAATGAAGTAGTGTATGGCTAGCTTTAGGCTGAAGATTCCATGTTCTGGCTCCAAGGATGAATACTGGTTCTTCAGTAGTGACATCTGTTGCAGTAAAGTTAAAGCAGAACTCCAGGCAGAAACCTCTTAACTTGTCCTTGTTGCTGATTTCCTACCTTCACTGAATATGTCATCCATCTTCTGGTTCGCTTAGTAGTTGCTCTGAAATAGCCTATTCATTTTCAGATCAAACCATTATTTCTCTTTGGTTTCCTGTGTGTAAGACCAGTGGCTGCTATGCCTCCTATTCCCCCAGCCACTGGTCTTGGCGCATCCCTTCTGTAGTTCTTTCTCCAGGAAGCAGTGATGCAATTCAGCCCCACTTGCAGTGGTAGGTAGACCGAGACTCTCAGACACATTCACCATGTACAGTGTACCCGCCCACATTCACTACAATTCCCTGTGGTTGATGGGAACTGTAGTTTCCTTTTACTGCAAAGAGAGAGAAGATGATGTAATCTCTGCTGTTACACCTCCTCCTAGGCAGAGCAGATGCTGTTATCTTTTGAATTACAGAGATGAGGTCATGAAAATTAATTTAGGTTTTTCTCCAAAATGGTAAGGACTTTAAAATTTTATTAACTGTTTAGTGTTTTGTGTAAGGGGGGGCAGCCCCCTCAAGAGGATTCTCCAATAGGTATTTTGCTTTATAATTGATTATTTTTATAATTCCCCCCAAAAAAAGATCTTCATCAACGTTATGAAGTTCACCAGGAAACAACAGATGATGTTATGTTTACTGTTCCACTTCAAGGAATCCGTATCAGGGTCCCCACTATAGTCATCAACAACTAAAGTCTTTGAAATACAACACAAAAAAAAAACAAAAATCCATGATGTGCAGTTAAAGTATAACAAAAGGCAAATTCTTTTTTTTACTTTTTAGTTTTGGAGAGCGGTTAGAACACCTGTCAGATTTTTACTGCTGTCTGTGTCCCTGTTAGGGAGATTCACCCTCTCTACTTGTCCTGTTTACTATTATCATTGAATGTGAAAGAAAATACCAAATTTTGGGTTGTTACTAGAACAGGAATAGAGGGAAATATTTCCAATAGGGACACCAGTTCCTGTGATCTTGGTAACAACCAGGGATTTCCTCACTATGGAAGGATTTCCTCCCACTTCCTATTTTGGTTTTGGGACAGGAAGTGAAAGGAAATTTCCCAAATGAGACACAAATGGAAAAAAATAACCTGATGGGTTATAACCCTTCCGTACTCTATCCAAAATGATAAAATGAAAAGAAATGAAAACATTTTGCCTTTAGCTCTACTCAAAAAATAATAAAAACAGTATATTGAGAGATATCCAAGAGTATGATTCCACAATAAAGATGAAGGGACTGAGTGAGGGAGTGGTGTGCATTGCTGAATTTTTATATTTTCCTCCACTGGGCAGTCAAGCACGCTATTGAAAACTGTCCAAAAAAACAGCAACCTTTGCCAATACCCTAATTAAGAATATTATTGCATCAATGCTGGTTTTCTCAGTTAAATTTAATTTTCTTTGTTGAATAGAATTCTGGTGCAAATGATTATGATCTGGCAAAGTAGCATATCATGACTTCATGTGAAAGCAACTTGTGGGTATTCACATTCTCAGACTTTGTCATTAAGCCTTTTATACTTTTGGTGCGACATGGTTCATATAGTAAGAGTCCATTGTGGGTAATCTGTGATTTGAGGTCTCCTTCAGAAATACAGTATGTGTCCTTAAAGTGTATATCTATACAAAGCCTTTTATTTTAGTTTTTGGATAGAGCTGGAAAGGGTTAGACCCTCTGTCAAGTTATTACTGTACATGTCCACACTGGGGAGTTTCACCCTCTCTATTTGTACTGGTTACAGTTGGCATGGAAAAGGAAAGGGAGGGCAAATCCAAAATTGTCCCCAGAACAAAAGGTAAGGAAACTCTTCCAATGGGGACACGCTCTTCCAGGGAAAACTAAGAGGGGAATTCTACTTACTTTGGGAGATTTCCTCTAACTTCCTGGTATGTCTCAGGGACAGGAAGTGAGAAGAAATTCCCCAATGGTACACAGACTGCAAAAAATAAATAATGTGGCAGGCATTTAACCTTACTCTATACAAAACTAAAAGAAAAAGTGTTGGTTTTACATACACTATAATGGCTGTGGCTAGGAATAGTTCCATAACACTTTCTGTAGTAAAAGTTGAAAAAGTCAACTTAAACTGAACTCAAAAAGTGAATATTTAATTTAGCACGGAAACATCTAGAAGTGTTAATTGAGTCTAAGCAATAATCTAAAAAAACATAAATTTTGTCTTGAATTTATCCTGAAAAAAAAATGCAAAGCACATCCTTTATACTGTACGGGTATGCCTAGGCACTTTAAGGCCTCTTGCACACTGCAGCTTAAAAACGTTTTTTTTCTTATCTAAAATTCAGCCCATTATTTACAATGTGCATGTACACACAGGTGAGTAACAAAACACTGCATATTCATGAGTAAAAAAAAAAAAAATCTGCAATGTCGGGCAGTATTTTTGCAGTTATACTTGCAAATATGCGTAAATATGCACACATATGCATGAATACCCTATATATGCCATACCAGTGGCTGGACAACAGACCATAATACTGGACACTTATCTTTGGCCTCTGCCTGTCTTTTTTGAGCACAGCTTCCTGAGTTCAGTTTCTCTTTATGATCTCTTGGGAGACGTGACAGGTAACATTGCTAGGCCAAGCTTAAACGTTTAGAATGAAAATGCAGGTTGCTGTGACAGGTGAAAAATATGTTGGATCTCTTTTTTGAGATTCACTGTGACCCAAAATAGAGCTTGGAGTGCCTCTCTAAGCAAGGAGAGAGTTCAGTCCCACTGATCCTAAGAAACAGGGGTGCTAGTATACAGGCTCACTTATCCAACAGTGTTTCTCCACCGGAGTGTGAGTACAGGTGTAGAACAACCTCAGCCAGCTCTGCTCTACAAACCATGGTCCCTTACCGCGTTTCGCCATGCCCAGCGGGGCTAGTCATAGAGGGTTTTTTTGACATGTCAGATCACTAGCAGAGCTTGTCTGTCTGTATTCTTGATGTATTTGCTTGCCCATGAGGTGTCCAATGAACTGGTGAGGAAGATCAATGCAATCAGTTGGGTTGCAGGAGATGGAATGCCTTTATAAAAAAAGTGTTTTACTTGGACAGTTATTATGCAATGTATTCCTAAAGCTTGTTCTTTTCTTTCTAGATGTTAATGAATGTGAGACTCTACAGGGTGTGTGCGGGACAGCTCTATGTGAAAACGTAGAAGGTTCCTTCCTTTGCATCTGCCCAAACAGCGATGAAGAGTTTGATCCAATGTTTGGAAAATGTATACGTACAACCAGTGCTGGTAAGAGTTCTTAACATGGGCATAGGCTTTTATTGATGAGATCATATTTGATCATATCAAAAAGGCATCCTATTATTATCATGCTATTATTATCAATGGCACTCATAATTTTTTCTTCCACTTTAGCACGGCCTGCCTTTCCAAGCCATTCTGGAGCTTCCCGTGTGGACTTTGTACCAACCTCAGGCTTAAAGGAATGTTACTTCAACCTAGAGGACCCCAATGTGTGTGGGAATGTGCTCTCCAGAAACGTCAGCCAGGCTGAATGTTGCTGCACTGTAGGCAAAGGCTGGGGTCAGGGCTGCCAAATTCAAAGATGCCCCAGCATGGAATCAGGTAGGCAGGACATCTATGTGACTACAACACTCCATAAACAACTACATTGTTATTCTTATTATCCTAAAACAGGTTTTCATAACCCTTTAACCCTAGAGGAACCCCTAAACTAATTTTCAGGTTTTGGGGAAACCTTACTAAAAGCAATTAATTGGGGATCAATGGAAAAAAAATCCTCTTACCGTGGTGGTCATTGGGAAGAATACAACTTGTACAATTCTGGTAAGAGTGCCACCCCTAAAGCCTAAGTTTAGTCAAAAGGTTTTCCCTTTGAAAAAAAAACAGCACAAGGGACATTACTTACAATCAATGAAATGTGTCCCTTGTGCTCTTGCACCGCTGACCAAGGTTTTTATTGAAATCTTCAGTCCTCTGATCCCCTTCAACCCCCACAGTTGTATTCTTCTGATGGTGCAAAGGTAACACAAGCCAAGGGAACTGTCATATGTACTTGTCAAGACTGCAGACTATGCCTGCCCTTTCCACCCCCCTCCTCCTTTCCTAGAAGCTGTACTATTGCTTCCCTGAATTAATTACGATCTATGAATAAAGGAGGCAAACCTTTCTTTCATCTGCCCATCCTCCATTCCTTCCTTTCCAATTATGGAAGCTATAGTACAGTAGCTAAAGTAGGAGTTGAGTGGAATGGGTAGGCATAGTCAACACACTTGATGAGTACATATGACATGTTCCTCAGCTCATATTAACACCTGCAGCACCAGAAGATTGTGGCTTTAGAGATGGGGGGGATCAGAGGACTGATGTTGTCAACTAAAACCTCAGCCAGCAGCACAAGGGACACTTCTCAATGACTGTAAGTAATGTCCCATGTGCTATTTTATTTTTTTATTATGGACAAAACTTGAGGTTTAAAGACAGCTAAAAAAGATCATTGGTGTCATGTTGCTGGCCTTGCTAAGTGGCTTTGGCCCTGGATGTAGACATCTTCAGATGGCAGGTCAATCAGCCACGGTACATCCCAATATAATGCAAAAAAATTTACAAACAGAGCTTCAACTGCCAAAAAGCATCTCTGGGATATGCAGTACCATATACACCTTTCACTATGGCTTAGTAATAGAACACTTGACATACCCCTGGCATCAACATTAATCCTATAGTGGTGTGCGCATTGTTATCTATGATTGTAGTCTTCTGCACGTTGTTGTGTTTTGATACCCCATTTTATAATCTGATTCTGAAATCCGTAATTCTCCCTACTAGCTATTTGTATGTTTTAGAAATTTTTGTTTTTTACACATTTGCACATTTTGCAGCTGAATACCGAAGACTGTGTCCAGAGGGAGTAGGCTTTGTTACATTAGGACAAGAATACAGAGGTAGGTCTCATTCCAATTCATGTTTATTGATCTAATGCACTGTAGACAATTGTGTTGTTCACTGAATTATCAACATACAGTACATATACTTAGGGTCTAGTCCAATCCTGTCCAAGTAAAAATACCGTTTTTATACTAATTTTGCACATGGTTGGATGTTTTTTGCAAAGTCAACTTGCTCTACTCCTTTATCAAATCACAGTATCTGAAATACAGCTTTTACCTAGATAATACCCTTAAAGGGTTAGTATACCTTTAATGACTTAAGGCTTTACATGTGCAATAAAATGCTGTCTTCTATTTTTGAAAACTACCCTTACATTTGAAGCTGCTTCTACTATGGGCTTACCCACTCTGTCTTGCCTAGATGGTAGGACAGGCCGACTGTTGGAAGCATGGCCCCAGCACCTCATGAACAAGAACTTGCCTAACCACACATGTGCAGCCAGTAGAGTATTTAGGTTTTGTGCTGCCCTAGGCAACACAAAAATAAGACGCCTCCCCCCCTCTTCCCCGGTGGAGAAAGCCTGACATCGACCAACAGAAGACCCACCCCCCAACCCCATGGAGAGAGCCTGATAGTGACCTACAACAACCCTGCCCCCCCCCACCTGAGAGAGCCTACCACTAACACCCACCCACACCCTCTCCCGGCAACAGAGAGAAAGACACTCACCTTCACAGCTACGGACATCCCCGGGAATTAGAGTCGGACTCTGCATACACCAATAAGCAGCCCGCAGCTTCTTTTGGATCCCACCTGGTCCCCATGCTGCATATGTCCCTTCTTCCTGGGGGGTGCTGCCCCCCTGAAAAATGCCACCCTAGGCAAATGCCTTTTTTGCCTTGTGGTAAATATGCCCCTGTGTGCAGTCCTCTCTCCATCTTTCTCTCTTTCTCTCTTCTCTCTCTCTCCTCTCTCTCCCTCCCTCGCAGAGCACTGAGCTCAGCCACTGCAAGAGACAGAGCAGACTGCACATATTTGGTTGGGCAAGTCAATCTCTCATAGCTCAGTGCTCATTTTTGAGGTGCCAGGGCCGCTCATCCAACAGTCAGACGTCCTGCCATCTAGGCAGCACAGAGAGGGTAAGCCCATAATAGAAGTAGCTTCAAAAGAATCAATGTACTGTACATTGCAGAGATTTTAACAAATGTTGTAGCAGGCTCCTACCTTTTGTTGCTCTGAAGACATACCATTTTGTTACACCAGCCTGATTCTGAATGGAAGGGTCTGAGTCATTATAATCATCTAGTGCACTCTCAGTGTTCTAATGAGAAAAGCTGCAGGATCTGCATCCCCACAGTATTTGGGGAGCATTTCACCAAAACTGAAATTCTTATTGCACAGGGTGCCTAAAATGTAACTTGTATCTTAGTGTAGACTTCTGGGGAAATCAGTGAGCAACTCACACAAGCAGGAAATTATTTTTTGGGGGGGGGGGGGGGGGGCGTTACATTAAAGGTGAACTAACCCTTTGATATTGGCTGTTAGGTCTCATAATGCACAATTAATACATGTATTTCTGTCTCAGATGTTGATGAATGCAAGCTGTTTAGTCCAGAAATATGTAAAGGAGGTGTCTGTCTCAACAAGTCTCCACTATTTGCCTGCTACTGCCCGAATGGATATTACTATGATGTCCATCGCATGGAGTGTGTCGGTGAGTTTTATTAATATGTTATTTTTATCAGTGTACACTGGTGACAATAGTGGTGATAAAAACAGGGGCATTACTAAACCGTGTACAAATCGCATGTAGTTCCCCCACTGCTCCTGTGTGAACACAGGCTTGTCATAGCCTGAGTTCACAAAGGAGCGGTTGGAAAAACTTCCCTGCACCAATCCCATGCTGAGCGGAGAGAGGGAAAGAATGTGGGGATGTATACCTTGGTGGCAGATGGAGGCAGATGCTCTAGATTCTCAGTTGTAGGAGAGGAGAAAAGGTCGCAGGGATTTGAAATCTCTACAGCTTTCTCTCCTGTCCTTGCAGGGATGACAATTTGGGCTAGAGGGCTTTTGATTGGTCAGCACCATCACATGGACAGTGCTGACCAATCAGAAGCCCTCTAGGCCATACTGCCATCCCTGCAAGGAGCGGAGAGAAAGCTGCTTCACAGGTCTGGGGATTTGAAATCACCATGGCTTTCTGTCCTCTCCTACAGCTGAGAATCCGGAGCATTTTCATTTTGAATTTTTTTTATTAAATTGTTATTAATTTCATTTACAAATAAATAAAAAAGAAAAACTCACAGAATATCATTCCATAAAGCTCATTTTACAGTGCATAATTTTACATATTCCCTCCCTCCCACAACCACCAACCTCACCCTCTCCTTTCTCTTTACCCTTCTCCTCCTGCTCTTCTATTGCTACTTGTATTTTCCTTCTCTCCTCTTCTCTTGCTCATCTTTTTCCTTTTCCTTTTTAGTTAAACCATAATTCCCTCATCTCTCCAATTATCTTTCTCTCTACTTTACACTCCCATCAATTCTGTATATCTCTTTGAGGTTTTAAAGTCACACCATCCCCTCCATGTTTTCAGAAATGTTCTTCTCCACTATGATATAATTCCTCCATCCTATAAATATGTTCTACCCTATATATCCAAACCTTTACTCTAGGGATCTCCTGGACCTGCCAAAACCTTGGGATCAATCCTTTTACTGCATTTAATAGATGGAATATCGTCATATTCTTATATTGTTTCACTGTGAACTCAGTATTATGGAATAAACAAACCCACAGGTCTTTTAGAATATTAACTCCCAAGATCTCTTGTATTTGTTGTACTATTTTCTGCCAAAACTCCTGTATCCTAGGGCATTCCCACCATACATGTGCCATAGTTCCCTTTATCCCACACCCTCTCCAACATAATAGTGAGTTCTCTGGTTATTGCTTGTGTACCACACTGGGTGTAATATAGCATCTTGCCAAACATTTGTAATTCATTTCCACTACATTCATATCCACCGCCCCATGTGCTAAGTTAAATATTTTCCCTTTTTGCTGTTCATTTTAATTGTATTCCAAGTTCCTTCTCCCATTTCTCTAAAAACGGTGGAGAAATAGGTCCAGATATTTTAGTAAGTACCTTATATATGCAAGAAGTACCATGTTCAGCATCTGTTCAAGTGGATACAGATCCTCTACTGCTCTTACTGGTTGTGGAAGTGTCACCACAAAGTGTCTTAATTGATAATATCGCCACTTATCTAATACATAAAATAACTCCTTTTTATGGTTCCATTCTTGAAAAGAATATATTTCCCCCTTCATAATATCCTTTAGCTGTGCATTTCTATCTTTTATCCATTTTCCTGATATATCATCTTTCCCTGGTGGGAAAAAATTAGTTCCCACCAGTGGTATTAACGGTGAATTATACTTCCATCCCATTTGCTTATGAATTGCATCCTGTACCCTAAATACATTCTGTGTTAAAGTGCTTGTGTTTTCAGATAACATCCGAAACTGTTGTGGAATCCAAATAATTTTATCTAACTGTGTCTCGCTTAGTGTACCTTCCATTTTTACCCAACATTTCCCTCATGCGTTATATACCCACTCTACATTTCATTTTGTATTGACAGAAATCACACCGCAAAGTATCAGTTTTCGCTATCGGGAGCATTTTCACAATTACGAGTACTCCTGAAAATACTTGGTATCGGTATACCAATCAGCAACGCCTGTAATGTAGAGTAAACTGATGGAGGTGTTTTCTGGTAACATAGTACAATACCAATGTACAGTATAAAGAAAGTCTATATTCTGTTAAAGCTGGCCATACAGTGCTCAAATATCAGCTGATTCCTGCTGGCTCACCAAAATTCAAGCCATAAATGGCCATGCCGGTAATACTTTGGTTGCCAAAAATCTATTGTCCAATAAACTTTTGTCAAAGGAGCCCGATAGAGGATTGACAGCCAAACAATGCCACCATCCAATCAGGCTTAGGCACTGTTTGGGTATTCCGACAGCAGCCGCTGTCAGAATAACAATCTGGTGATGTGGGAAGCTCATGTGTTTCCTTGTATTTATTGCAGCTATATACAACCATAATACAATCAAAAAGGTTGATGTTAAAAAGTTTCATTATGAAGAAACAAACCTACGTTGAAAGTCCGATTCTGAATAGTAATACAGAAAAGAGAGAGAATGTTAAACAGCACAGCCTTCAGAAGTAGACCCCCACTTCACATTCGAGGAACTCTGTGATACTTGGCCGCTGTGGAATTCCAATGAAAGTAAATTGGGTGGAAATTGTGACTTTAACATAGCATCAGTGTTTGCTGGGTAGCACTAGACGTTTACTGTTCCCTGGACATGTCCTTTAAAATAATGGTAACTGAAATAAGAAGTTTAAGTGGTGCTAAGAGTATTTTTCATTGAATAGATAATGATGAATGCCAAGAGGAGGAGGTCTGTGAAGGAGGCATCTGCGTAAACACAGTAGGATCTTATTTCTGTACATGTACCCCTCCACTTGTTCTTGATTCTTCCCAGAGGAGATGTGTCACCAATACCAGCCAGGCCATAGGTAAGGACTGCACACATATTTTTATATGAATTTATATATCTTGTATGCAACCTATATCAGTATAGTTCTGTTCTCTTTTCAGATAACAATATAGCACTGTGCTGGCAAGCAGTCGGTGCTGATTTGGTGTGTAAGCGCCCCCTACTGGACAGACAGACTACATACACTGAATGCTGCTGTCTATATGGGGAAGCCTGGGGGATGAGCTGTGCTCTGTGTCCAGCAAGGGACTCAGGTAAGGATGAAACAAGAAAGCACAAGAAGCAATTCATGCAGATATCTGAAAAAAAAAAAAGATGTGTCTGTCCTGCACTTTATTTTTCCCATTGAATTGCTTGATCAAAGCAAACCTAAATTAGCCAATATAAATGCATTTAAAGGTTTAATAAAAAAAAAACCCTCAGATGTCAGTGTTAATAAATGACGAAGAGTTAAAACATGGTTTCTAAGAGACACAAAGTGTAAGATATCTGCACTGGAAATAAGTTCTCACATCTGTAAATCTCCAAGTACTATCATAAAGGGGCCCCACCCAGTCTCTTGAATTACTCATTTAATATATATTATTGAGAAATAAACCAAAGCAGTGGTACACCCAAAAAAAACAAGTGCTGCAACATGAGTTGCAGTTTTTGGGGAACTGGAGAAAGTACAGAGAAGGGCAACCAAACTGATATGAGGCATGGAGGAGATCAGCTATGAGGAAAGATTAGAGGAACTGAATTTATTCTCTCTTGAGAAGAGGAGATTAAGGGGGGATATGATCACCATGTATAATACATAAGGGGGGATGATCTCCATGTATCACCATGTATAATACATAAGGGGGGATATGATCTCCATGTATAATACATAAGGGGGGGATATGATCTCCATGTATAATACATAAGGGGGGATATGATCTCCATGTATAATACATAAGGGGGATATGATCTCCATGTATAATACATAAGGGGGGATATGATCTCCATGTATAATACATAAGGGGGATATGATCTCCATGTATAATACATACATAAGGGGGGATATGATCTCCATGTATAATACATAAGGGGGGATCTGATCTCCATGTATAATACATAAGGGGGGATCTGATCTCCATGTATAATACATAAGGGGGGATATGATCTCCATGTATAATACATACATAAGGGGGGATATGATCTCCATGTATAATACATAAGGGGGATATGATCTCCATGTATAATACATAAGGGGGGATATGATCTCCATGTATAATACATAAGGGAGGATATGATCACCATGTATAATACATAAGGGGGGATATGATCTCCATGTATAATACATAAGGGGGGATATGATCACCATGTATAATACATAAGGGGGGATATGATCTCCATGTATAATACATAAGGGGGGATATGATCTCCATGTATAATACATAAGGGGGGATATGATCTCCATGTATAATACATAAGGGGGGATATGATCTCCATGTATAATACATAAGGGGGGATATGATCTCCATGTATAATACATAAGGGGGGATATGATCTCCATGTATAATACATAAGGGGGGATATGATCACCGTGTATAATACATAAGGGGGATATGATCACCGTGTATAAATACATAAGGGAGATATGATCTCCATGTATAATACATAAGGGAGGATATGATCTCCATGTATAATACATAAGGGGGGATATGATCTCCATGTATAAATACATAAGGGGGGATATGATCTCCATGTATAAATACATCAGTGGTTCATATAGTAAACTCGGTGTAGAGCTATTCACCCTGAGGTCATCACAGAGGACAAGGGGGCACTCTTTATGTCTGGAGGAAAAGAAATGTAATCTCCAAACACGGAAAGGTTTCTTCACAGTGAGAGCTGTGAAAATGTGGAATAGACTTCCTCAAGAGTTGGTTCTGGCCAGCTCAGTGGATTGCTTTAAAAAAGGCCTGGATTCTTTCTTAGATACACAGAATATAACTGGTTACTAGCATTTATAGGGAAAGTTGATCCAGTGAATATCCAATTGTCTCTCGGGGGATCAGCAAGGATTTTTTTTCCCCTGCAGGAGCAAATTAGATCATGCTTTGCTGGGGGTTTTTGCCTTTCTCTGGATCAACTGTGGGTATAGGATTATAATTTTTTTTTTTTAATGATTGAACTGGATGGACTTTTGTCTTTTTTCAGCCAGACTAACTATGTAACTATGAGGAGTGAGACTCTAAAGGTGGGGCTATAGCAGTTGGATCTCATTGTTTTCATAAAAAAGAGATTGGGTGGCTCAGCCCATGAGATACCACCTAGAACTGAAATATCACTTTAAGGTGGACAAACATCTTAGAAAACAATACAAAAATACCCCTTTTGCAACAGAGCATGTACAGTAGCAGAGTGTAACGTACATGTAAGATTTGAGTAGCTGAGATGTGACATAAATATAAAGATTTGAGAAGCTAAGACGTGACCTGTAGAAAATATGACAATATAGATTTAGCACTCCATGTTATAATAATATAAGATGTGTTCAGGATTCAGTCAGAGGCATATGGTCACCAATTAGCATCTGAAAGAGACAGAACTTCCTTGGAAGAAGGTGACACCTACATGCCAATAAGATTTGTCACCTTCTGAGAAACCTGGAAGGAAAGGGCTCTAGACGGGTTGGCTTCATGACACAGTAGATCAAAGGAATATGTTTCATCTCTCATAAAAGCTAAAATATTAGTTGCAGAGAGATGGAAATACTTCCTTCTGATTGGACACTCTGTAGGCTACATCTGCATGTAAAACGGTATTTGTAGCCTATGTAGAATCCCAGCGAAATGCAGAAAATGGTTATATTGCGCCTGATGGCGACAGCTGAACAGTGATTGGTACTGTCACAATCGGACTGATGCGCTGGTATCAGAAACTCAATCCCTGACTTGGTGATTCAAACCGTCCAATCGACTTTGGGCATTCCAGTACCCAGAGTGTCCTGTGGGCTGGTACAGGAACACCCCCCAAAGTCAATTGGCCAAGGGCTAATGTCCAGCCTACATCCATATTCCCATAAATTGAGGACCCTGGGGTATGGACGGGGTGATTTGTATGGAGCCCGTCCTATTGACTGACGGATCGCAGACTTTCCCTGACTTGCTCCAATCGCAGGATAAATCATGGTAAAAGTTTTATTTCTGTTTTTTATTCCCTTTTATTTTATAGTGAATAGTCAATTGTGTGTCTTCTTGTGTTTTTTGTATTTCCTGTAACTTTTTATAATTTGTACATATTTTATGCACTGCCCACTTTCGGGATATTAAATCTTAAAATTAATAAGTGACTTCTGGGTACTTAAGCTCGGGCTCATATCTCCGGAGAGATTAGATTGTATTGTATTTTAGTGCCTTTATATGCTCGGTCAAGTTCATTGCCAATCTGTATGCAATTGCACTGCGTGTTGGCCGATTGTGTGCAGATTGTAAGGGTGACAGGTCCGGCCAGACGGAGATCTGTGTGTGTGTGGTGTCCCAGCACATCGTTCTGCAGATAAACTGTTGGGTGGTGGCAAGTTACCATTTGTGGTGTGTCTGGTGTGGGGGTGTGTGGACAGTGGAAGAGTGATTAACACCGGGGTTCTAGCTTGTAGGACAGCTGTAGGAATCCTAGAAGGGTGTGTCGATCGCTAGGCTGCTCCTCAACCCTAATTAGTGCACCAGATTGTATGTAAGATTTGTGTCTACCTATGTGTGTGGTCTGCCAGGTGGATTGGAGTCTCCCTCTAGTGGTGGCCAGAGGTAGCGCAGGCTGTGAAAGTATATCACGGCCTGTCTTATATACGTATATATATTCAGATTAAGTCCCCCTTATTCCCTCTTACCCCAAGTCACGGCCGCACATGCTCATCTTGGTTAGCTAGTCGCTGTGGGCATGTGCGTGTGAGGTGGACCGTGACACAGAGGTTGGGGGGTATTCTTTGCATATGAATTGTGCTTGCACATCCTATCCAAATCTGTTACCATTTACTCCCTAGAGTTAAAATAGATGCTATTCAACATGCATACTTGTGTTCTGTGCCCTGTACTGTTTTCTAGAAGATAACAATCCGTTCTTGAGCAGCTAAAGCCTACTATTAAAGGACCACTATGGTAATGTATATAATTAATAGTTGTAATGAAAGTGTTCTGTGTTTGAATTATTTTTGAGATATGTTTCTATCAGTGTTTCCTTACCTAGATGGCTTTTTTAGGTTCCCTTGGGGTTCAGCAAGCACAGGACCCAGGTTACCTGGATCGTGCAAGGATTTGCTATGGTGCAGGCGGGCTGGCCGCCAGCACCATAACAACCATTCAGGCTCTATGACAGGGTGTACAGTGTCATTTGTTTCTATGATGACAGAGACTGGCCTCCCTGCAGTGTGGAAGCACATAGCGGTGGTTCAGTGAGGGTGACATACAGGGCCACCCCCAGCATTCATGAGAGGAAGACAAATCGCTACTCTGGACCTCCAGCCCTCTGCCTCACCACTGGAGCCAAAAGAAAGGCCTTCGATGTAAAGAAGGTACTGTATGATTGGGTGGCTCTGTGATTGCAGGACTGTGTGATTGGGAGGCTCTGTGATGTGGGAGCTCTGTTATTGGAGGACTCTGATGTGATGAGAGGACTCTGTGATGAGGATTTCTGTGGTGATGGGGAGACGTGCTTTAGGAACTGATGTTATGGGTGGCTCTCATGTATAAGGGCCTCTGATGTGAAGGTGGGACTCTCATATGATGGGGGCAGCACTGGCATGATGGGGGACTTCTGATGTGAAGGTGGGGGTTTTGATGTGCAGGGGAAAACTGATGCAAAGGGAGGATCTCTGAAGTGATGGGAGCTCCTGATATGAGGGGAGATCCTTTGCTGTGAAAGGAGTACCTTTGTTTTACATTTTTACTAGGGTAGCTCAAGATTTTGCATACTTTTAAATGGTGCTGTAACTGAAAAAGCATTGAGAGATTCATATATATTTTTTCCACCTTTACAGTGGGACCAGGTTGTCCAGCAAGAATGATAGGAACATGGGCTTTTAAATACTATAACACTGCCCTGGCACTGCATATAAGTGTGGAGAAAATATAAACACATGGCATATTCATTCATATACGAAAAACTATCAAACTTATTAACACAATACAGTTCTTAAAATCAATTTTAGATATAGTTGTCCTCTAAGTTGCAGAGAAGTTTGGTTTATATATTTAAAGTGTCCTACAAATGGTGCATCTAATCATATATGGGGCAGCACAGTGGCTAAATGGTTAGCACTTCCGCCTGGCAGTACTAGGGTCGCTGGTTCGAATCCCAACCCCCGGCACCACCTGCCTGGAGTTTGCATGTTCTCCCTGTGACTGCGTGGGTTTCCTCCCACACTCTATAGACATGTTGGTAGGTTAATTGGCTCCTGTCTAAATTGTCCCTAGTATGTATATGTATGAATGTGAGTTAGGAACCTTAGATTGTACACCCCTTGAGGGTTAGGGACTGATGTGAATGTACAATATATGTGCAAAGCGCTGCGTAAATTGACGGCGCTATATAAGTACCTGAAATAAAATAAATATCAAAGATGGTCATGCAAGTCTGTGTAGTGATGTACTTAAGTGGACACATGTTCAGAGACACTAGAGTTATTTTTTTTTTCTATTTGCTCTTGCCAGATGATTTTGAGGCCTTATGCAACGTCCTGAGATCTCCAGGATATGGTAGTCCGGGATCTCCTCCAGTAGACCCTTATGAATATGGGTCAGAATACGGAGCAGGTTATGGTGTCCCATATGGAGCTGATTCATTCCCTAATCCCCCTCCTAGAGTGGTAAGACCAGGATATGAAGCTTACCCAGCACCCCCTGGAGTAGGATTTGGCCAACGTCCTCCATTACCTTATGGTCCTCGGGATCCAGTGTACAGCCTTCCTCCTTACGAATCTCCAGACTTTGAGTCTGATATTTCCTATCCAGACTCTGGTATAGATGAACAAAGACCACCGTTCCGAAGACAAGAAAATCCGTATGACCCACGTCTGCAACCATCTCCACCGCGCTCCAGGCCCAGGAGTCCTTCCAGGGTAGGATTGGAAGATGGACGCAGACCTCAGCCATGGCGTCCTGGAGGACGTGACCTAGACAGCTGGAGAGCAGGCCTGAGAGAGGCATATGATGGTAAGTGTACCCTAGTGGGCCTTTAAAATTACAAGAAAGATTGCAATCTAGTCCAGTAACTTTTCTCTCTCCCCTAGACCGCTATGAACAATTTGAAGGACTACAAGCTGAGGAGTGTGGAATCCTCAATGGCTGTGAAAATGGCCGGTGTATCCGAGTTCCTGAGGGCTACACCTGTGACTGTTATGATGGGTACAGGCTGGACATGACAAGAATGGCCTGTATTGGTAAGTTACACTAGCAGACTTGGTGCAGATGTTATACGTGTGTTATAAACACATCATAAGGGTTTGGAAGATGGGATAATAGAATAGCCCTTTCACACAGGCGTTCCTTTTGTCTGTTTTTCCTCCATCTGTTGACAGATAAAAAACGGACACCCATGTACTTCTATGCATATGTGGATGTTAACGGATGATCATCCTTTGACATCCGCTGACAAACGCCTTTGTTAACATCCGTTTTTTTAAACAGAAGAAAGCCCTATTTTCTTTTGTTAAAAAAAACAGAAGCTGACCTAAATGGATGTCAACAAACGGTCTGTTTTTGCAGCCGTTTTTGCATTGGTTGTTAGGAGCCAGCATCTGTTGGCATCCTAAGAATCGATGACTCATCAGTGAAAAAAAACTGCTTGGCAGACGTGAATGAAAACTGCATGGGGGTCCCCCTCCCCATCTATACCAGGCCCTTTTGATCTGGTACGGTGTTAGGGGGAGCACCGGGCCAAAATTGAAAACAAAAACGTGTGGTGTCGACCCCAAAATCCATACCAGGCCCCCCCCCCTCCTGAACCATACCAGACCACATAGTGGGGTACTTTGGGGCATGGGGGCTTTGATTGATGTAGATCCATTGTCAATCATGATGCCACTACTGCTGACCTGACAGTTCTTAAATAACCAAGGGGTGGGGCCACCTGATGACTTCTTTGGGTGACCCCACTCCTTGTGACGTCACCGACCATGGCATACTGGATCAATGATGCCACAAGAGGGCAGAATCACACAGGGTCTTATAGGGTGGCCCCATAGTTATTTAGGAACTGTCAGATGGTGGGTGCTTTAGGACAGGAGGGTTCTGCCTCTTCTCCACAACCCTGACCAGTGGTTGTGGGTGTCTGCAGATGGGGGTGGCTTATTAGAATCTGGAAGCCCCCTTTAACAAGGGGGCCCCCAGATCCTGCCCCCTCCCTACTCATTCAGCAAAAAAGTGCAGTGTAAAAAAAAGGCAATAGACAGTTTTTGACAAGTCCTTTATTAAAAAAACAAACATTTTTAAAAAAGTTCCCCGGTGTAGATCCATCGTCAATCGACAAGTTGTCCAGTTCCTGAAGCTGCAAAGCAGTCCTAGGCAATCACACTGCCACCACCATGTTTGACTGTTGGTATGATGTTCTTTTTATGAAATGCTGTGTTAATTTCACACCAGATGTAATGGGAAGCACACCTTCCAAAAAGTTCAACTTTTGACTCATCGGTCCACAGGATATTGCAAAAAAAGTCAAATGGCAAATGTGAGACGAGCCTTTGTGTCCTTTTTGGTCAGCAGTGGCTTTCTCCTTGGAACTCTCCCATGGATGCCATTGTTGCCCAGTCTCTTTCTTATTGTTGAATCATGAACACTGACCTTAGCTGAGGCAAGTGAGGCCTGCAGTTCCTTAGATGTTGTTCTGGGTTTATTTATGACCTTCTGGATGAGTCATCATTATGATCTTGGAGTAATTTTGGTAGGTTGGCCACTCCTGGGAAGGTTCCACATTTGTGGATAATGGCTCTCACTGTGGTTTTCTGAAGTCCTAAAGCCTTAGAAATGATTTGTAACCCTTTCCAGACTGATACACAGCAATACTTTGTTTGTCACCTGTTTTTTGAATTTTTTTAGATTGCGGCATGATGTGTTGCTTTTTGAGATCTTTTAGAGTGCTTCACTTTGCCAGACAGCTTCTATTTAAGTGATTTCTTGATTCAACAGGTCTGGCAGTAATCAGATCTGGGTGTGGCAAGTGTGTGACAGACCCAACTGGGACAGGTGCTTTTGGAGGGGACTGCAGGCTAGCCTCGTGCCTACTGACCTTGACCCTGGCATCTGAGGGGGCTCTATTCTTTGGTGGGTGGCTGGGGGGACCTTTGGAGTAGTTTACTTCAGATTCAAGTCTATGTCTCCCCACAACACACAGACTCTGAGAACTGTCAACTTCACCTTGTTATCTAATCAGTGTGGGATATTAATCGTAGTGTGTAAAATTTATTTTATTGTGGGGACTGCCCCTATTTCTGGAGTGTATAAAAACTGTATTTCTGTTCAATAAGTAGTTCCAGTTTGACATCTAAGTTAGTCTTGTCTAGTCTTAGGTGCAATGCTCAGCTATAATACCTTGGTCCTATGTCCCACTGGCTAGGAAGCGGTTCACCCCCAATCGGGGTGACAGGTGTTCCATCAAAAAGTGAAATTTAACTCCGCTTTCCAAAAAATGTGGTTGATCACAGTTCATTTATGAATTAGCAAGTGGGGGGGGGGGGGACTTTTTCGGAAAAGACCAGGCAGGTTTGGGCAGTTTTTTTTTTTGCCCCTAAATAAATAAAATCATCAAATAAAAACTGCATTTTGTATTTACTTGGGTATCTTTGTGTAATATTAAAATTTGTTTGATGATCTGAATCATTTAGGTGTGACAAATATGGAAAAAAAAAAAATCAGGAAGGGGGCAAATAATTTTTCACAGCACTGTATATTTTTAAGCCTGAATCATTGTTTATGTCCACTTAAGCTGACCACAATCCAGCCCTCCTAAAGTCTGAAGGACAGTATACTGGCCCTTTGTTTAGAAAATTTGGAGACCCCTGCTCTAGCTGAATGTCTGCTTTTCATATTTACTGGCATACCTAATCTGTACACAAAACAGAGTTTCCATTTAAACAGTTGAGTTGAGGAAATGATGATTTGGATTTTTCGTGTATTAAATCTGTCTATTATTAATACTCTATGTCTTCATCTAGATATAAATGAATGTGATGAAGCTGAGGATCTTTCTCTATTGTGCCTGAATGGGCAGTGCCGTAACACCGATGGCTCATACGAGTGTACCTGTCCCCGTGGATTTGTCCTGTCCCGACAGCACTACTGTGTCCCCTCCCAGGACTAAATCCGTCCACTCCTAGGACAACCAAAGACTTCCTGCAGGGGGCTATTCTATGTCCACATCACTGTGGGGACCAGGGGATTGCATGGAAAAACCAGAGGAAGATATTTATTTGTCTGTATATATTGCCAGGTGACTATCGGTCTCTTTAATGCAGTCAGTGGTGGGCAACCCCTGAAAGTTTTACTTTTTTAAAATTTTAATCTATATACTATTTTACATGTAACATGTGGGGCCTTGTCCTCCTGTGTGTTGCCCACTGATGTTTATTTTCTGTCTTGAGGACATTGCAAATGAGAAAACTTTTGGTATTTTACAATCCAGTAGCTAGCAAGCTTATATAATGTTCCATTTGCCTTTTTTTATTAAAACAGTATAAGGAACATAGGGATGTAGTTATAACAAAATTTGCATAGCTGTTCATTTGGGAGCAAAATTGAATATCATTAGGCCATTTTCTCTCCATGTTGAATGTGTGAATCAGGAAAATACCATATTATGGCCACTAAAGAGAGCTGACGATCATAGTAAAAAGGTATTTATTTGCTATGATCATCAGCTCCATCTAGGGACCATAATGTGGAATTTTCTATTTGCACTTTCAACCTTGAGAGAAAATAGTATAAAAACATTCAATTTTGCCCCCATTCACATGGAACAAATGTACTTGCCATTTCACAGAATGAATAGCTTGCTAATTTTTTTTTATAAATACACATCTAAGTATGAAATACAGTGCCCATATCAACCAATCAGAATCCACATTGCAGAGACTAATCTCAGAAAAGTGAATCCTGATTAATTGATATAGGTTACTATACTTTGTGCATAGTGCTTTGCTGCTTGAAATTTAATTTGAATAGGTCAATGGGGTGAGATTTACTAAAACTGGAGTGTGCAAAATCTGGTGGAGCTGTGAATAGAAACCAGTCAGCTTTCAGGTTTTATTTTCAAAGCTAATTGAACAAGCTGAAGTCAGAAGCTGATTGACTACCATACACAGCTGCACCAGGTTCTGAGTACACCAGTTTTAGTAAATCTCTCCTGTGCTAGAGGAATGAAAAGAATATGATTACCATGGACATTAAGGGCTCGTTCACACTAGGCTGTTTTGCCAACGCTTGCCAAACGCCCCTATAGCGTTTGGCAAGCGTTGGTCCGGTGTTTGCGGAGCGTTTTTAACGCTCGGCAAACGCTCCGCAAACGCCGCATGCGCGGTTTAGCGGCGGTTGCTAGGCGTTTGCCGAGCGTTAATAACGCCCCACAAACGCCTATAATGCATTTGAGTGGTGTTACCGCTCCGCAAACGCCCCGCAACCGCGTCGCAACCGCACCGCAAACGCCGGCCGGGCGTTTGCGGAGCGGCACCATAGACGAGAATAGGAGGCTTCAAAGCCTCCTGACTCGACCAGAGGACGTCCGTTTTGCCGCGACGCAACGCGACGCGACGCAAACGCTCCTGTTAGAACAGCACCATGTGCTGTAATGTGCAGAGTTGGCAGAGGCGTTTGGGAAGCGGTAAAAAACGCTTCCCAGACGCCTCTCTGCCGCCTGCACACAAGGCTAGTGTGAACGTAGCCAAAGACCTGTTTTTTCCTTCATTCATTCTAAGCAAATGGTTCAGTGAGAAGCCTATGTAGTATCTAAGTCATTGATACAATTTTTGGTTTAGGGGCAATTTGGTAAACACTTCTCATGTATAACAGGCCTTATTAAATGTAATCCCTGAGTTCTTATTTAACCAACATATGGAAAGCAGTATGACATTTCCAGCTGTGGCCTTACCAAACCACCATCAACCTGGAAGTTAAGAAGTAGACCCTCAAACATTCCTGACACTTTTTGGCACTTGTGTACCATAAACGATATGTACCATGTGGTAAGAAAATGGACATGGTCCTTTACAGCCATGTCTCTCTCACCGTTTATCATTGTTTGCTTCATTTTAAACCATTATACAGCCTCAGGGGCATTTTGTCCTAGGGATCAGTATGTGTCTCCAGTAATAGCTGCTAATATGAACCACGCATTGTGACCCCTCCCCCCCCCTTTCCAGATCAATTAATCCCTCCCTGTTCTGGGTCACCACATAGTCATGCGTCTTTCTGTCTCCTTCAAGAGGATAGAGCATCAAAGTACTTCTTCTAAATGAGACATAAATGTAATGTTTTAATTTTCTACACACACGCACATTGTGATTTTTATACACTTTTTATAGGCATTGTTAAAAAAAAATCAAATGAATAAAATATATATTATATAACATGTTGCATTGTATGTGCGTTTTTAAAGGAATTCACTTAAAGTAGAACTCCATTTAGAAGGTTTTTTCTAGGTAGAGTGGGTCAATGGCTAGGGCAGTCTTAAAGCCAGAAGATAAGTATGACTGCCAAGCATGGAGCAGGAGATAAGCAATGGTGGCCACATTTTTTTTTCTTGGCAATTTTCCTTTAAAAGGTAAGCCAAAACCAGTATTTCAGTTAGTCACCAGTGTCTAGGTTAATCTGTTGGCTTTGTGATAAGGCTCCTTACACACGTGGTAAATTCGGATCTTCCTGTCTGTTTTTCCTCCGGACCCAATTGAACCCTTCATTCTCCTCTATGGAGCAATGGGTGTAAATGGACTTGTGTCTGTTTACACCTGCCTACCTCCATTTTGCCAAAAACAAATGGAAGGGGATCTGTTCCCATATGTCTGGGTGGATCAGAGGGCAGTTGGGCGTAAACAGCCAGTCCGTTTGCATCTGACTGCCCATAGAGAAAAGCAAGTAGCATAAGCAGAGCAGATATGGATCAGTGCTCCCTCGCACCCACTAGTAAAAAATAATCCACCCTAAATCAAAAAAATATTCACATATAAGTCCAAAATATATAAATCAAAAAAAATATTTTTAATAAAATAAAATAAAATAAACACCCAAATCAAAAATGTTCACATATAAGTCCAAAATATATAGAATCAAAAAAAAAATCTTTCCAATAATTTTATAAATTTTTCAGACGTTTTAAGAAACAGTCCCCTTTGCCGAATTCCAAATAATTAGGAAAAATAAAAAAAAAGAATACCTCATAAAAAATATAAAAAAACAATAAATAATTTAAAATCATTACAATAAAAAAAAAACACTCGTGAAGACTAAAAGTGATTCCTCCATTATATCAAAATGGTAAAATACATCTCCAAAAGTTATATTATTTAGTTTTATTTTTTTGAGGTATTCTGAATTTGAAAATCCTGGATTGGAATTCGGCAAAACTGTTTTTTTTTGTTTTTTTTGTATGAAAAACACTATATTATTTTTAAGATTTTATTTTTTATTTTATATATTTTTTTTTATAATGAACAATTTTTATTTGGGTGTTTATTTTATTTTTATTTTAAATTTTATAAAAAAAAATGATTCATATATTTAAATTAAATTATAAAAAAAATATTTTTTTGTTTGGGTGTTTTATTTTTATAGTGGGTGCGGAGCATAAAAATTATATTTATATTTTTTAATTGCATTTAGTTGAAGTAACTTTTAATAAAAAAAATTATTATAGCAGGATATTTAGATATGGATCAGTGATCCACCCATTCTGATCTGCTCAGCAGAAGATCAAACGGACAGATCAGATCCCCCGCTTTTCAGTTGGATAGGAAGTGGATTCCGCCCCGTTTAAAGGGTCCTTAGAGAATCATGGATTTTATAATATAAGGCCCCTTTCACACGGGTGATCCGATCCACCAAAAACAAACGGAAGGGAATTTGTTACCCTCCATCTGGGTGAATCAGATCAAGAGCAGTCTGGTGTAAACAGATAGCTGGTCCATTTACATCTGAGTCCCCAACAGCAGAGTGTGCTGTTTTCCTGTCTGCTCTGCATAAAGGAACCAGTGATCTGCCTGCTTTGTTCTGCTCAGTGGGGGATCAGTAGACAGATCCCCAGCTGAGCAAGCGGAGCCTGCCTCATGTGAAAGGGGCCAAAGAAATTCACCAATGACACTCACGATTGGCTTTATAATAGTTGTGGTATACTGTGGCAATATCTAGGCTTTCTAACACAAAACTGGAGGAGCTATGGGTGAATGCCAAGTTTTGATGGACTCTTGACAACTTTCTCTGTGATCTGAGCTGGCAGTATCTAGAGCATCCTTAATCAATCAGGATTCTGTGGACTCTTAGGGTTCTTAAAGAGATTGCCAGAGGTTCCTTGAGCTGTGGTGGTGAGGAAGACATAAATGATGTTGTGGCAAATATCTGATCTTTAGAGTCTCTCTAAGACAAAAAACTGGAGCTATGGATAATTGTCAAGTTCTGAAGGACTTGTGACCAGTTTCTCTGTGATTTGGATTCTAAAGAGGGTTTGCCATGGGTTCCTTGAGCTCTGGCTGATTGACCTCTCATTTGACGGTGAAACGCATAGCTCAAGGGCAAATGCCACTTGGCAGAGTCAATAGCATGACAACAATTATCTTTTTTACCTATCTGTAAGGGGGCATACGTGATTTTGTGCAGCCCTGCCACCCTGTAGCAGTACTTCTGCTATAGGGTGGTCGAGAAGCAGTTAAAAAATTTAGCTACCCTAAAAAAATTGTAAAAAAAAGTCTTCCTTGAGACAGACCTTGACAAATCCTAAACATAACAGACTTATTCTTCACATATTATCCATACACATCCATTACTTAAAGTATAACTAAAGGCAAAACTTTTTTTTTTTTAGTTTTGGATAGCGGAAAGGGATTAGAATCCATGTCAGTTTTTATTGCTGCCTGTGCCCTCTCTATTTTGTCCCGTTTACCATCATCATTGAAAGAGAATGTACGATAAAAGTATTAAAGGGGATATCTTCCAATGGGAACATTAGTTCTGGTGACCTGGGAGTCCCCAAGGAATTCCCCTAATTTGCAGGGATTTCCTCTCACTTTCTGTTTGGCTCTGGGACAGGAAGTAAAGGGAAATATCTGCAATGGGACACAGACGGCAAAAAAAAAAATATGGCGGGGGTTAAAACCTTCC